TACAACAATAAACATGTCATTGTAGGAATAACTGTATAGCCAGCCGTTAAAGAATACACAAACAGCTGTAAACATTAACGTCTATAATTAAGGGATATTTATTCCAATATGAACAACATTCATCGGACCCCACATTGTTAATGTAGAAAACCAGCCGAACAATAGTCATAACGCCATACACCAGATATTAAACATAAGAGGGAACAGATTCTATAGTTCTAAGAACAGTTTCAAAGTACACAATACACAGATTTAAAACTTTCATTTATTTTGCATCTTTCTTCCCAATTTTGCAGTTTATGCTTCACCGGCCTTCTTACTGCTACAGCCACCCGTCTTCATCCATTTTCTACACTGCGTCTGTAAAGTTAAAATGTTTGCATTAATTTCAATATTCACTTTTCTACTTCTTGCCCTTAACACTCAAGCTACAGTAACTACACCAAACTATTTCCTACTACAAACTATTCTCTAACCACCATTCTACCACAAATCTAAGATGTTCTGAAAGTTATCGTTAGTAGTCACTTTTCCTCCCTTTATATTACTTTACACGTTTTCACTAACAAAATGGCCCGTCAACCGTACTTTATCTAGTAACAATTTATACCATTTGACATTAAAACTGCTATCACTTACCGTTATAGTCAACTGAAGAATATGTACATTCTTCATTCTTCCTAACATTTACACTAATCAGTATGAAACTGCAGTATTATTGCAAACTCTCAACGTTCAATATTTCTAGTGGCAAATTCTAGTGGTGCAGAAGCAACACCTTCCAGTTCGTCACCCCTCCCCCACCCCTGTTAACTATTCATAATGCCCTAGACTATTTTCACCGATTACTATTAGGTCCTCCCAATTACAACGTCATGAACACATACCATTCATTCTTTACACAATCTTTTAATCATGCTGCTTCAAAGCTCATCTACTGATATTTCCCTACTAATTATGGTAGCCTAATACATTTCTATATTTTAACTGGCATTTTTACCGCCTAAACCCAAGTCTCATAACTAGGACAAGTAAACTAGTTAATACTAGCTTTCTAATGTCCCACAGATGCTCTTGCAATAATTCTACAGAATATCTTCAACAGTTTCCTGCTAATAAATATTAACTGAACGTTTTAACAACTTTCCTTTTCTTTCAGATATTCCTGCAACGTTGTCAGTCGCCCCGTGTTGAACACCGTCCAACCACCTCTATCGAGACTTGCAGCTACGTCACGTCAGAACTAGTTCCGTGCCTTGTGTGACTGACTAGTCCTCCGTTCACTTTAAGTTTCTCAAGAAGACTCGTGGCCATTGTCGAGCCAGACCCTAGAAAAACAAACATTAAGTTATTTATACCATTACAATGATTTATAAAGTATCAAATTTATGAAAAAGTCTAAGGTTATTTTTGTTCAACAAATTATAATTTCTCTGTATAACATTGTATACCCTCGTGTCTTTGTAATCTTTGATATATAGGGCAACACCAGGGTACAAACTTTTAAGAATTTAAATTTATTGCTAAAGGTTTAGTATTAATGTGTTTAATACATTCGTCCTAATAGCTTTTAAGTTGCCATTCCAAACAATATTACCACGCATTCTAGTGACTACCGATACCATGACTGATTAACATTACGACCCCACAAGACGTGGCATGTCCACTAGTAGCCCGAAAATTAGCGACATGCCAACACTTAATTACTTACAAAATTGACTGTCTGGGAAAACAATGTGATCCCAGACACGCAGATTTCTACGTTTACTAATTCCGGCCCCACTGAATATATATTAACTGTACTGAAAGCTTTACAATACATTTTTAGCACTACTGAAGAAACCACATGAACTAGGAAAATTGCCCAAGTAGTAGGGGGGGGGGTTTGAAGGGCTGAGATTTAATACAATACCAAAATATAATTTTCAATTTCTACCTAACTACAAACTATTAGAACTACTGTACCTGAAAATTTGTTTACCAGCTGCAATGGACACTACAGATATCAAGACTGAAGAAATTCAAACCTGCATAACTTGCCTGGTCGTAACCGAAGTAATTCAGATAAAATTGGTTCCGTGAATTACATTACAGAAATCCACACCCACCTGTTAAATAAATAAAATAGAAAGGTGGTTTAATACCATTAAGTTTTAAAAGCGTCAAGATTCATCGAAGCAGCCTAGTTCTGCGAGCCCGGGGGGGGGGGGGGCTGTGAAAACACCCTCAGACAATTAAGCCACAGAAGATACCCATAAACTGCCACTAACTACTAACGCCACAGGAATAAGCTGTACATTTAGTGCCTTTCAGTACCTACAAGCAATTTAAAAATTTAAGCAATATGACAACTGGCTAAAACCTAAAACAGAGTTACAAATCCCCAAAATTCTGCAGTAAATTGTATCTTTTACTCATTACTCTAATAATTATTGCATTTTAAACGGGCCAAAGTAATTGCATACCTTACGTACTGCCGAGATATTTAGACTTTTTGCCCGTTCTAATGCAGATTTTAAAAAAAATTGTGGACCAGCCACTTAATGCTGTACGGCAAAATCTTAAACGAAGCTAATTATTAATACTATTGTTAGGATACGTCAACTAGGTTTCCATGTAAATAACTTTACCAATTTTATCATACGCCACCCAAATATCACCGTCCCTCTGAAGGCATCACATAACAGAGCCCACATTACGCTACGCCAACAACCAGGTCACACCATAATTAAATATCGACACCTGCACCTTATACGAGTTAATACATTGAGCAATAAAGTCCACGGTAACCTTACCTGATGACCGGTGTAGCTGCAAATGATATAAGAAGCGGGACACCGCCTAAGGAACTACGTCTGCTGTCTGTCAGCCCGACACTGAGGCGGCGCCGGCCGCTCCTGACCTTCTTGCCCAACACAGCGTCATTGGTGACGTCACAGTGCTTAACGACCATATCCTCGTGCTGTGCTAGTTAATGTATATGTTTATCTCTCAGAATATTCGGTAATACGTTTATTGCTTGTGATGTGTGTCTATGTATGTATTAGCACGATGTACTGAACGGGGTGAGAATATATATAGTTTGAGCTACCTCATCCCTTTGTGTGTATTTTACCTGAATAAACTTATTTCAATTTAAATTTCTCGTGCTGTGCTAGTTTGCGCTCCAATGTTTTACATTCCGTTAGTTACTTTTAATCAGTAATATTATAATTTAATATAATAAGTAATATACTGATTTACTTTAATCAGTACTGTATACTGTATTATAAATTAAAACAGGGGATAAAAGCTTTCGAGATTCATAAATAATGGATTCAGGAACTCGTCCCGTGTTCTACATACAGCCTATAGTAATTTTCGTCATTTTAATACTATATTAGCAATGTCAGACTGATTATTTTTAATAGTAACACAAGAAAAAATGCCAGTATTTTTGATTGGCAGTGTGTGTTAAGATTTCCTTAGATAAGAATATTCCTTAACAATTTAGAGAGACTTGCCGTTTTGATTCTTATAAAATGATATGCTGAAATTTGGTTTAGAAACTAATTAAAGTCTTAAGTGCTCTTCGTCAGTCCTAATCAAGGCTAATATACTTTGAATACAGTAACAATGCAAGCCATAATTTCAACATTGTCAGAGGCTGTCATAAGGTGCAGATGTTTACTGGGAAATCTGTAAAACAGATAATACATAAAAACATGTATATACATTTTCAGATGTGTAACAAACGAAGAGCAATGGTTTAAAGCTCAACAAGCCACAACATAGGACTGAGAACAGATGTGTGTTCACCCACAGGGTTATAAACCCATGGAATTGCCTACCTGTCGAAGCTGTAAATGCCAAAACTTTTAAATTTTAAAGTCCAACTGGAAAAAGATCATAAAGGAAAAGGATGGGGGGGACCTTTGACAAGCTGCCGGCTTCTTGTCCTTGCTGAGGCCACTAATGTTAGTGGCCCTCAAGTAAATCAGGAAATGTGCCCAACCATTTCTATCCTGCCCAACATGTAAACCTTCTCACCCCAGGGAATGTTATTGATGAACAATCAAGGGACTTACTTTATACCAGACATGAGCAATTTGTACAAATTTGTTATTGTTCATTTAATGTGTTTGGCTATATATTATGTGGGTACTATTTTTGCCCAGGATATGAAGGGTGCAGTGAAGTTATTGAGCACATTAGATGTATGCACATTTCTACCCTGTGTTTTATTTAAATTGCAGAGTGGATGGTAACATGATACAGGTATATGGTAATGAATATTATGTGACGTGACAAGATTTAATTGTTTTAAGAGTTCATTGAAGTGTTGTAGGTCGAGGCAGAATTTCATTGTTTGGCATGGTTATTTTCTCATTTTGTTTTCTTACCTCTGTGGGTCTTTAAGTAGAGCCCCCTGACTGTTTCTCAACATAGATATTATTTTGATTTTCCCTTTTAATTAAGTATTGACAACATATTATATCTGAGCATATATACCACAAAGAGGAGTTCTACATCAGTGCTAATGGATGCAATGCGTGACAACAGGTTGCCTCGTGTGGACACACCTACAGGCAATGTAATTCCTCAATTGGTATGAGGCCTAACCACATGACTACAGGTGTCACTGGCATCAGTGAAGTGCCAGTGAGGCTGAGCTTTAACTGTTGACAGGGAACCAGTAGTGCTGGGAGAGGGGGGGGGGGTCCAAAGCCTTGTAGGCTGATGCCCCTGGGCTCATACTCATATTCAAAGGACACCAGCAGAAGAAACTTGTTAACACACCCAAGCTGAGAGAACAGGAGCAAAGAAATTAAACCCCCCTTTCCCAGCAACACATTTGGAAACAGTATCCTTTGAATATTTAAGAGCATTTTAAATCATAGGCACGATTGCTTTCAAATGCTCCTTTCCTGTAACCATCAGCTAAGATTAAAATACTTTGTGTGTGTGTGTAATCTAACATCTGCTTAATTATTAAATTGAGGATAAGTACCAGTCACTGCTTAAATATCATCTCTTTTATAGTTTCTATGTCAATATCTACATTCACACTGTCTTGCACATTAACTATTCCAGTTATCAAGATAAATCTATTGTACAATTCATTCTGAAACATGACAATGAATGATGAGAATTCATCTGCGAGTCTTACACACTCATTCATACAACTATAAACTTGTGGGTAAAATTATTTAAGTATTATCACTGAGACAGGTGTTTCATTTTCTATTTCAAAACTTTTTTCAAAGTATGACATTTCTAATATTCCGTTATTTTACTCTGAGACTCTCTCTCAACAAACAAATCATATTTTGGTCCTTCACACCCAATAAACTATTGGTCAATGTGAATTTAACATTATTAGGCATAGCTTTAGGCATAGTATATACTAGCTCTATCTAGAAGTCCAACATTCTGCTTGCAACTCATTTTGTTTGTATGTACTTTAACCTAAATAAACTGACATAATTATTATAGATTTTTAGACTGAAGGTGTAGAGCTGTTTTTGCTGTCATTATAAACATTGTACTGGCAGTTAATAATGACCAAAGACAACATTTAATGTTATATCTATAATCATTATGTATTGGAGGTAGCTATATAACCTGCAGTACCTCCAGCACAATAACAATGTACATGGAGGCTACTAATGCTGTAGATACAAATGCCACGATTCGTTTTTGATGCTCTGTAGAAAGTCGCACAATTCTAACTCGCTTTACCATGACACTGAAGACTTAGCTCTTCATGCATAGGACTTTCAGCTGAGTTCGACAGGAATGTCTGCCCTTCCTCGTTGGTCACTCACTGTGCTGAAGGAGACTGTCAAAAACATTAAAACCTGTATTACCAAGAGGAACCAATATTATATATGTATATAATGTTCTACAGTACATTGTTTACCTTTCTATAAAATTGAGTAACATAGGTTACTTCTGTCTCCTAGTAACATAAATTAAAGATACATATACAAATATTAAATTCTGTTCACTTAACAGATGGCAGCATGTCAAGTGCTCTTGACAATTTCATTTTTAGAAGGAATTTTTAGCCATCACATTCTCCTCAGGAAGATATAGGAAATGTACTAACATACATACACATGTGTGTATAATATATATACTGTATAGTGAGAGGAGAGCAGAGTTAGGAACATAATATCTGATTTTGGAGAGTATACCAACTGTTTTAGAGACTTTCTTTGTTATGTGTTGAATGTGGGTGCATAACTGATTTCCCCTGATAATTGATTTTACTTTAGTTAATTCTTTGTTACCATTGTCACCACAATCTTAACCAAACATTTTAACCCTTCTACTAGACTGCATAGATACAGACCTCCCCTCCAAACCAGACCTCACCTCCAAAGACAAAACCTTACCATAGTGTCCTGCAATGTTGTCAGAAGGTTGTGTGAGGGCATAATTATTGCAGCAACTGTGCAACGATCACCCTCCCACCCAAATGTATGTCTTAGTTTTTTTTTAAATAAAACAAAAATAATTTGCTGTGGAACATTGCATTTAGATTCTGTGTCTGCCATGCTGTAAGTCTCATACATAGATTTTGAGATATATACAAGAGTTGTTACATTCTTTACTGATTACTGAATCTTTACTAGATTACTGAATTAAGATGGCATGGGGAATACTTTATTTTTCAAACGAGGCATGCTGATTTGACCCACATGAAACTGTGATAAAAATGTCTCTCTATTAGTTACTTGCGCACACACATTTACAGTAATATTGATCAGTACAGTTTAAAAAATGGTAGACTCACCATCCCTCTCAGTACACTTGGGGCCAAGCCATCCTGGAGTGCAGAAGCAATGCCCATTTGAGGGGTCACAGGTGCCTCCATTGTGACACTCGCACGCCTGCTCACAGCTTGCACCAAATCTGCCAGGCCCACATGCTGTCATCCATAAGATCTTTCATTAGAAATGGTTTGGGTAATATTTACTTTGTACATTCCATTACAGCAAGGTAAAGTGTTGCCAGAAGTGGCATGCTTTTTGTATATCCAGGACTTGTAATTATTAATGCTGATATATCACACCAGCTGAATTCTTTCAAAACGTTGATTAGACATATACTGTATATGAATGTGTTTTGGTGAATATGAACAGAAGCTGCCTTGTATGAGTCAATAGGACTTCTACAGTGTCCTTTATTCTTATGCTCTTAAGCATGTGTAAGTATATTTCTTTTGACCAGTGTAACTTATCATTTGGACGGGTTTTCATTATTAACCAGTTGCCAAAGATGTACATAATAATTACATTATGATTTTATAATAACAATATTCCTCGACCTTCAATTTCACATTTAGGAACCCTAACACATGACAAGGATCACACCAAGGTTTACTATTACTGTACTACTAAATCTTTTCCATAAATGGGGGAATATGAAATACTTGATGTAGTCAAGAACGAGCATTGAATCATTCAACTGCAGTCATTAATGATATCATTAAAAAAGTAATTTTGGTAAATATATAAGTATTTACTGTATTAACACTTACGCATAGCGCAGTTAGGCCCTTTAGTGCCGGGTGGGCAGTGACACTCCCCAGTCTCTCTGTGGCACCGGTGCTCGCCACACTGGCACTCCTCCTGACAGTGACCCCCATACATCCCTGAAATTGCTCATTGTAGGATCACAAATAAGTATATAGTTGTAAGAAAACAAAAATATATACTTTCATTAAAATATAATTTCAATGACATCTAACCCACACATCTTAAAATACTGTAAAAGAAGAGATGACATTTCGGTTCATCCTGGATTACACGATAATGGTCCAGGATAGACAGAAATGTTGTCACTTCCTTTATTTTCAGATGCATGGATTGGGTGTCTTAATTTCCAGCTATCTTATTGTGACTTATTGTAAGTCAATAATCATTTATCATTTAAGGCATATGTTAATATATGATAATTTTTATATTTTTCCTTTCAAATTTAAAATTATTCATATACAATACGTACAAAGTGTTAAGTGTTTACGTTCATACAAATTCAGAAACTTTAATTTATCGAATGTTATGCATTTTATAATTCGCCTAGATCACCAAATTTCAAGAACATTATTCATTTATACTAAAAAAAGTAATAATAAATTAATAGCTAAGCCTTTGCATAATTACAAAATGATTTAAAAAATATGATCAACCTTTGCAACGACACTAACCCATTGTCTTCCAGTGGCATCAACTGCCACCAAAAGATTAGTTGGTCAGTTACATCTTTCAGTTGATCGATTGGGATCCTCTATACTGCAAGACAGTTAATATATTAAACCTATACAGTACTGTACTGTTCAAGTTCAGTTTTAATCCTCCTATTATTATCCCTATAGTACAGTGGTCTGTGTCCTTGACTTACAGTTGAGAGACCCTGAGTTCAATCTCCGGGCAGGATAGAAACGGTTGACCATGTTTCCTTTTACTTTAAGCTTCTATTCATTTAGCAGTAAAATAGGTACTCCAGAGTTAGACAACTGTTGTAGGTTGCTTCCTGGAGGAGGTTAGTATGTGGACTTGGGGGAGCAGGGGAACATTGTTAAGACTTGAGGACAGGGTTCCTGTCCCCAACAAAGGGAATTATTTTGCTTAAACTTAAATATTTCTAAGTTAAGCTGAAAACAAATATAATGTCCCTTCAAGAGATATTGATGATTTTAAATTTATCAATTTCTATTTCAAAATTATTTACCAAGCGGCTCAAACACCCATCTCTGTTGTAAACAGTTTAGTTGAGATAGCGTCACCTCGTCGCACTACTCTTGAGTCATTATACGTTCATAGGTTTCTTTATATAATATGATTTATTTTTTTAGTGGAAGCCTTCTTAGAAATATTGCTAACTAGAAGGGGGGGGGGGGACACCCTGCATTGCTCTGGTGATGGAGACCACATCTTCATTATTACTACTTTCATTACTATAACCATCTTAACTACCTACAATCATAAACAAATCCACAAGGGCCGTGATGAGGGTTCAAACCTATGCACAGGATGTTCCAAGATGCGCCTTAGTCAACTATGAACTCTGGGAACATCCCATGCAAAGGTTCGAACCCCTCATCACGGCCCTTGTGGATTTGTTCATTTGATATATCATGTTACTGTATTGTGATTTCTGTGTGTACCTACAATCATCATCACTGTAACCAAGTACTGTACACTACTCTATAGCCAACTTCATTAAACACTACCTTCAAATTCTGAATATACCTGAGGGCCACTAGTGGCCTTGAAGAAGACAGGAAGCCAGTGGCTTGTCAAAGGTCCCCCACATTTGTCCTGATTATTTTTCAAGCTGGGCTTTAAAATTCAGCAATGTTTTGGCATTTAGGGCTTCAGTGGGTAGGCATTTTCATGGGTTTAAAACCCTATGGGTAAAAAAAGCATCTCCTGTTTTGTCCTACAATGTGGCTTGAGCTTGAAACCATTGCTCCTTGTTACATTTGACTTTTTGAAGAAGTTGCTTAGATCAATATCCTTTATGATCTGCAACTACTATCACTACTTGGGCACTGCTGGATTACCCATCTATAAATTTCCCTCTCCATCACCTTTCCTACCCTGCACCACTTCCTTCTCCATTATAGTCCCTCTCCTTCACCATGTTTCCAATCATTCACCACCTAGTCTACTCTTCACCTTCATGAAGTGCCTTCACTACTCTTCACCTTTATCCATCATACTTGCAACCACTTTCACAAAATACTGTTTCTGTCAATAAACTACATAGGAGAAATTAACATTTAATTATATAGAAGATAATATGCTAGATGAATCTTGTTGAGGATGTCATGGCATGGGATGCCATCCAATTTAGGGAGATTGGATTAGTGTAATTTGGCATTTTTAGCAAAGGCATGTAGCTTGACCCTGACCAGCCTATGACCATCCCCATCTGACCCCCATTCTCGAACATACACACACACACTTTGTATGATATAGATTTCATCAGTGCCATGATTATATTGATTTTTTTTTAAATCAGTGGTTATAGGAACATGCCTTTTGACTACTTTTAGCAGGCCCAGAGCTTTTTCTTCCCTTAGCACATGGTAAGCCTTACCCTACTGTTTTTTCCTGGAATATGACCCACCAATTGGTTAACAATCAGATCCCTAGTTACTGCTGGGTGAACAGGGGTGAATAGTAAAGCATTGGTGCTCAGTCAATCCTCCCTGGCCAGGACACAAACCTAGATTAAATTACTCGCTGGCATGCGTGTTACCCCTACTTCACCAGGGACTGCATATATAAAACTGATTGTTGATTATCTATAGTATACAGCTCCCATTGTCGGGGACAGGAAGACCATATTTGGGCCCATTGAGCTCCAACCCCCCCTCCCCTATCCTAAGCCAACTACTAACCTTCCCCAGGATGCAAACCACAATAGGTGTCTAACTGCTAGGTTAACAGAGGCATTAGGTGAAACTAAATGTGTCCATCTGATGTGCTGACATACACTTGGAAGCCATATACTATATTCCCATTTATTATCGTTGATTTTCTTAAATTTCTTGGATATGTTTTTGGTGGAATGATGTCGAACTAGGTGCCAAACATCTGTCAGTTGTGAGGCGAGGAGCATAAAGACCATTGTGCTACAGTACCCATTAAAAGCAGGTGAAAACTAACCTGTAGGACAGGTGTTGGCACACATCTCGCCAGTAAAGCCAGGCGCACAGTGGCACTGCCCAGTCTGAGGGTCGCAGGTGGCACCATTCAAGCACTCACATATACCAGTGCAATATGCACCATAGAATCCAGCAGGGCACTCTGAAGAGGGCAAACGAGGAAAATAAATATCTAACACCCTGTCTTTCTGTAATCATGTACACAGCTTGAATATAATTCAAATTTCTTGTAATGCTTTTAAAAATTCCTGAGTGCAATGCACAGATTAATGTGACGTACCCAGCTCACAATAGCGGCCATAGTGGCCCGGGCCACACTCACAGCAGCCGGAGAAGCGGTCACATGAGACGTTGTGGTGGCAGGCACAGTCCAGTTGGCAGTTGGGGCCATAGCGACCCAGGCCACACTTCTGGCTACAATCTGACCCGGTCCACCCCAATCCACATTGGCATTCTCCCGTTGCTGGAAACATCATCCATAGAACATTTGTAATTAAATAAAACCATGCAATAGGCATAAAACATTAATTTTCCCAGACTTTAACATCAATAATGGAAAAATATGAAAACAAATTGTATAGAATATGAGAAAAGACTTAAACCATTAAGCAAATATTTTAAAGCTCATATTAAAAACAAGATGGCGATGTATGACCAAACTGGAGCTAAAGTAACCAGCCCATCTCCAATAATGATGTTACTTGTAGCAACCATTTGGTCAAATTGGCCTGCTGAGCCCCAGAAAAGTGTTTTGGGGGCAATAAGTCACAATGTGGTTTAAAATTAAACACCCAACCCACAACTCCAAATGAAAGAAGTGAGGACGTTTCGGTCCATCCTAGATTGTCAAATCATTGTCGAAGACAGACCAAAATGTTGCTAATTCCTTATTTTCAGATAAATGGCATGGGTGTCTTACCATTTTGTATTACTGAATTAGCCCAAATGGCATACTAAGATAAAGAAACTGAAGAACCCAACCTTACCTGTCTAAGCAATCCTAGGCTTAAAATAGTACATATAGTTCCTATACTAGGCCTAGGAATGTTTATTTTTTGGATAGGTTCCCTTTTGTAGCCTCTACAAAATTAAGTACAAATTTAAACGTGATCACTGTTGCCTGCAACAGTTCATTTTTATATACTCCGTCAAATAGTTACTTTAAGTACATATTAATATTTTTAGGAGGACAGGTTGAAAGTAACAATAAAAGCAAGACCCACAATGCCACAGTTTACTGGAGTGTCTTAAGAAGTACCCCTGAAGAGAATGAATATAAATTAGTACATTGCTAGCTTATTGGGCACTGCAGGTGAATATATTTACAATGATTAACTTACCTGGATGGCAGATGGCATCATTATGGCAGTGACAGGGGAAGGCACAATTGAGGCCCCAGGTATGGTCGGGGCAGTGGGACTGACAGCGGAACCCTGTATACCCAGCAGGACACCGACACTCCCCAGACCTGGTGCACACTCCTCCATGCTCACAATCACATGTCTGGCAGCCATCACACAAGTACATGTAATTTAATGTTTACAACTGGTGAACATGCTGGGCAACATAAGATTATATAATTAATTAATTTCCAGATTGCCTCTTTTCTAATAACAATAATATATTATATTGTGAACATGAATTACTGTACTAGTTATGTTAGGTTAGGATAGGTTAGGTTTTATGAAAGTTCTATGTTAGTTTTGACTAAAATAGCATAAAATTGCACTCAAACATTATAGTACAATGAAAACTACCATTTATATGAAAAACTTTGGGAAATTAAATATTAATAAAAATTTGGCTTGTTAGGCCACTCTGGCTATTAGGCACAACATGTATAATATTTTGTTGTGTTGGGAGACAGGAAGCCAGGTTATACATACAGTACATGTTAGGTTTATACTGAGATGTAACTCCCCCCCCCAGGGTCGAATTAATAATCCCACCCAGGATGCAACCCCACAACAAGCTAACTCCTGGATACCTATTTACTGCTAGGTGAACAGGGGCACAAGGTAAAATTAAACTCGCCCGACCATTTCTGTGCCGCCCAGGAGTCTAATCCGGAATTCTCAATTGTGAGTCGAGAATGAACCTGACTGTGCTACCGAGATCCCTCATATGCACCACACTGGAATATTCCCAAGGCTACAGACTACAGTGGATTGTGCTATGCAGTGTGCTACTATACAATTATATTAATGAATGTTGGTCACTGTATACTACTGTGTAAATAAGGAGAGGATAGCATAGAAGAGAATCAGAATTAGTGTAGTAATATACTGTACTGTATATCACATTGGTTAAATTGTATGGGTATAAACATCCATACTAACAACCCCCCCCCCCACACACACATGAAATGCAAGGGACAACATTTCAGACTGTCCTGGACCCTTATCAGGCCGTGTCATAGTAAGGGTCCAGGATGGACCAAAATGGCCTCGCCTTCACCTCATATGTATGGATTTCAGTGACGTTATTGTCACTTACCCTATGTAAATGTCAATATCACCAGAATAAGATTTAATTTGAAACTTAACTGAGGACCTGAATAAACTAATTGATTGCTTGCAAAGTGAGGAGACAGGTGCAAGAAGGCAAGACAAATGGGCAAATGGGTTGATGTGATGAAGGATTGAAAGGGGGTTAAAGGAGGGGGGGGGTGTCTAAATAGATGACAGGGGCAAGGGGGTATGTTATAGGTAGAGGGGGGTACAGTAATCTACATTTCACATGATTAAAATGTCACTATCTATTGATGTATCGGACAGAATCGGACTTCGTTTGTGCTCGGTGTGGGATGGACTGCCACTCTCGGATTGGCCTCATCAGTCACACCAGACTCTGCACCAGGATTGACAACTAGGGCGCAACTCCATAGTCTCCTGAGACTGAAGGATGCCTACTACTACTACTACTACTACTACTATCTACTGATGTAACAATTTAGAGGATGAAAATATATGTACAGAGTTCTACTCTAGTGGCTCACCTGGTTACAGCTTAACCCATAGGTGGTGGGTGGACAGGGAAGACCACAGGTGGGGCCATAGTACCCATCGAGGCACTGGCACTGCCCGCTCACAGGGTCACATATGCCCCCATTTTGACACTTGCATTTCTGTGGCAGAATATTTAGCATCCTAAGGTGGTTTATTTGCATTATAAAAGTATATCAAATTTCAACCAATTTTTTATATTGGAAATATATGATAAGCTGCTAGCAGAATAAAACAAATATTTTGGCTCTTTAACAAGAAGTAGTGACAGTTTTCCAAGCAGCCAACCAAATTCTATCATTGAGAGAGAAGTGATGCAATATCAACTTGAAAGTCAGTTGAAGACCTCTAAAATATTTACTCCTTTTGCAATGCTTACTGATTTTATCTTAATCTCACTCCATTCAATTCAAACTGTTCTGAGCATGTATATATATATATATATTCATCTTGCCATGTTCTGATGGTGTCCTGCTCTGAGTTTGTATATACTGATCCTGCCACGTTGGGATCCATGGGGTTCCCAAGTCTGCCATATCTAGATCCTGTCAAACACAGACCTTACTTCCCTCAACTTGATCCATCCTAATACTATTTCTTACTTAGTCATATGACTACTCTGGTCTATTCGATCCCAGCCTTACCAGGGCTCCCCATCCCAGCCCTACCAGATTCTGAATGTCTCCCATTCTGACTCTTATGCTTCCTGAATCTTTCATAATGGCTATTTCCTCAACCAAACAACAACCCAATAACTTGTGTAAGGGTGAGCTGGTATCCCTTTTACTCCTGTATTATTCCCAGTATTGTTGATGCAATGTTTCTACTTACCTATCAGTGACTATAGGGAGAGGCCTAGCTGTGTGTGCCTGCCCCCTAGCCATTTATACTTGGTGCTACCTTTCTCAAACATTAACATTTTCACCATATTTTTTCTTAATGTTGTGATTGGAATTGGCTGTAATAACCTCCTTCTACAATACATTCTATTTACCAACTACACATACAGGGACTGAGAAGTTCCTTATATCTCTAAAGCTCAATTACATTTCATTTGCAATGGTTCACAAAATGCCACTCAATTGTCATTAAGCTGTTGATTAATAGTTTATTACCTGTTTACAGTCGACCCCGTATCTGCCTCTGGGACATCCTCTTCGACATTTCCGACCACGAAGACCAGCGGGACAGAAGCACACTCCAGTCACAGGGTGACAGAGGGACGCCCTGGCACACTGACACTCTTGATTACACTCCTCGCCCCACTGTCCCTCGGTACAATCTGTGGAGGTAAAGCCTAGCGAGTTATGTCATTCATACAGGTCGGCGTTAAATCCCCGACCATCCAAGTGGTTGGACACCATTCCTTTAACCCGTCCCATCTTATATCATTATCCTGATCCCTTCGAATGGCCATATAGGCGGAATGGCTTGGCACTTTCTCCTAAAAGTTCCCTTCCCCTTCCAGACAAACCATCTTGCAGAGAGAGAACCATCTTCCAAAGACAAATATCCAGAGATACAGATTCAAGCTAAGGAAACAAAGGTGTCAAAACAATATACTGTAATGGAAAAACAGTTATAGTCCTCTTATCAAGTCAACTTCCTCTCCTACCCTGTCAACTCAACATCAGCAATGGAAATAAAGTAACTTCTCGTCTACTGTGATGGCACTTAACCTGCTATAATTGATTCATGAGATATTGCCACGAGACTAGAGTGCCCTCAGGTCTTGCTATTATATGTGAGAATAAACACTTTGCAATGCTTTTATCATGCACACCCTGCATGATGTTAATTGTTAGGTTTCATTTGTTAGTGCTTCAAAGTATGTAAAATTTTACATTATGAAAATGTTCATGCTTCAGTGTGAGTAAAGTTTTCCTTCGCATTTTCGTGAGGGATGCGTCCTGCACTCCACGAGGACAGAGGGGCTAGACTTCACCCACAGAGGGTGTGTCTTGTGCGCTGTGAGGCATGCAACCTCACTGTGTGAGGGGTGGTTTACCCTGGTTTTCTGTGTGACTGGAGTGCTGTAGTCAATCTGGTGAGTGAAATTAGTCCCTTACTGTATTATGTCCCATTCAATGTGTATTTTAATAAATGTAATACATGCACTCTGGTCCTTTGTTTAAGCCTGCCAATTCGAAATTGTGTCAGCTCAATGTGTTTACTCTCATGTTTGAGGTGTTTCTTTATAATAAACACTTGTTCTATATTTCTAATTTAAGGTAATGTACATATACTGCAAGTAAGGAAGTAAAGGACGGGTTTCGATAACTTGTAATTCAGTGTATGGCTTAGGAGCTTGTGCCATTACAGTTCATGGTGCAGGGAAATCTCCGTTATCTTCAGTAGTCAGACTCTGACACAAGGGGGTACTCATGGACACATCAGCACCTCAGATTCATAACTATTAGAGGGTTGTTTGGATATTTAGAACAATGCAAATAGCACTGTTAAATGTATCAAGTGGATATCTATGATAATAGTATTGTGGCAAATTATTTATAAAACTCGTGCAAGTTGATAGTATTGAATTCCTTTAGTGTAATAATATTACCTGTGCTATCCTGGATCTTATTTCTTTACAATTAATAAAGAATTCCTAACAAGAATACCTACATACAAGACAGAAAACATTTAGAGAAAATGTGCCAAACACCCAAGTGCTGAACAGAGTGCCCAAGTGACTCAAGAAATGATAGCCAGTGTCCTCATGGATACGTACACTCGTGGCACTGTTTGCCTTGTCGGCCTGGAGGGCAGGTGCATGCACCAGTCACGTGGTCACAGGGCTGATCCGCCTCACAGCGGCACCGCTCTCTACACTCTTCGCCAAAGAACCCACGAGAGCAAACTGGAAGAATGAATTTTGCTAAATATGTTTTTTTAGTGCAAGAATACTATATATATTATTCAAATAATTTTTCTATGCAATCTGTTTCCAGGCAATAAAAACGGTAAAGACTGGAAAAACCTTGGACACTTACTAAACTGGCATTTATCTCCTATGAAGCCGTGTGCACACTGGCACTTGCCTGTGACATGGTGGCAGTCACTACCATGCTCACAGTCGCACACCTTCTCACATCCCTCACCCCAGAATGCTGTAGCAAAGTATAAATATCTTCTTCATATAACAAGTAATGTTTAATGTGAAAAATGTAAAACACACACACAAAAGTTAGAAAATAATATTTAAATGTTTATTAACCTTGAATTTTTATTACATTTAATACAATTAGCTATGACTAATTATTATAATTCAACAGTGAAATGTAATTTGAGAGAGAAATCATTTGCATAAATTGGATGTAAATTTATCAGTGTGGCAAAAAAAAATAAACTAACAAGGTGAGTACATGTTTGCAATTAAATCCCAAAACACAGGCCGGGGGGGGGGGGGGATAATTATTACTGAAATGCAGATAAGTAGGTTATGCCTCCCCCTGCTCTAGCTGAAATATATCTGCATGATTTTCAACATTTACTGTCAGAATCAACAATAGATGCAAAAGCACACACACTTGTAAAGGAACCGTGTTAGTTAGATACCGTCTGCCCCATGTATAACTTTCTCACTACTAGATTTTTGCCTTGTATACTTATTTATATACAAGAATGTACATTGGGTTTTGAGAGTGTATAACATTGGTGTTTGAGCATTACATTCTTGCAAAGCCACTAACACACATCAGGTCCTTAAGCTAACCGAAAATGTAATAAGTACATTGTTGCAGAATTTGAGTTCAACTTAATAACTACAATATAAATTCACAGTATAATAGATTATACTGGGTGAAGTTGCATGTCTAAGTACAGTACTAATACTGGGGAAGTGGGTAGCACAAGATGCAGTGTAAGTTTGAAGCACAAGGTAGAAAACAATGAGGATGAAATTAGGAAACTTTTTGGTTCTACTTTTGAATAAGGCATAGGTTAGAACTTTTTTTAATTCATTAGGGAGTGAGTTCCATAGACTGGGTCCTTTTATTTGCATGGAAAATTTGCACAGATTTAGTTTGATTGGTGATATTGTGATATTAAAGATATACTTCATTATTGAATTTATGGTCGTTTAAGGTCTTGTCCATGATGACAGCGGTGGTGGCACTTGTGCAGACCACTGAGGCATTATCGGATAGTATGAGCACTGACCTTTGTGGCAAGGCTTATGGCAGTGCTTGCCGCGCCAGCCTGGCATACATCTGCAGGCTCCGGTGATGGCGTCGCAGTGGCCACTGTGCTGACATTGGCACTCCAGCACACACCCGGGACCATATCTGCCAGGTCCACACCCTGAGAGCCAAGAAGAAACTCATGTTAATTTAACATACAAAATAATATTTATAACAACTTGAGAACCTATTTACAATATGTTTATTGTACCCTTAGGCTGTTATGTATAGTCAGAGGTGACTATACATAACATAACGGTTGCTAACATGTAGGTGACTTACCAGTCTCGCAGAAAGTACCAACAAAGCCAGGAGGACAGATACAGGTGCCAGTATCGTGTTGACAAGTGGCGTCTTGCTGACACAAGCAGGTGTGCAAACAGCCGGTGCCATAGGATCCTTTGGGACACCGGTCCTGGCAGGTGGCCCCTGTGTACCCCGGGGGACACACACAGGCACCGGACACTCTGTCACAAGTGCCTCCATTGTGACACAGACACACATTCTGGCAGTCACTGCCCCAGCGATCAATGGAGCAAGCTGAGACCGGAGCAACATATTAGCGAGGATCACACAACAATTTCATATCTATGAACAGCAAAATGGATAAAGATAATTAGTTGTTGATACATCAGTGAATGAAAATCATGCCTTTTAGATACCCACTCTTCAAGCAGTGTTGACCATGTTTGCCAGAAGAACAAGAGCATGAGCCTGTGACAGGGTTGCAGGCAGCTCCAACGCCACAGTTACAGTGATGCCGGCACTCCATCCCCCAGAAACCATCTGGACAACGGCGTGAACAGAAGGTACCACGCCAGCCTATTCGGGAAGGCAAAAATCAATGTCAGTAATGTACAGAGGGAGAAAGTAGTAATAACAGAGATGATCCCAGAACTGAAACTTTTTGGTTTTTATCAAATTTCAGTTCTATAGTCACCCCTAAAAAGGCTCAGATTTGTCTGGGCTATCATTTCAGTTCTGGGTGTCACCCCTAAAAATGGGTATGTCTTAAGTCTGGGCAAAAGTTGAGTTCTGGAGATCAGGTGTTTTTCATGTTTTTTTTTTTAATCTCTATACAGTTTTGGAGAGCTTCTGGAGAGCTTCAGTCCTGTAGTCAGTGACAAGAGCCTATATATAACCCTGCCAGCTCTACTTAGTTACCCGATACAAATAAATTCCTGCATTATGAAGGCATCAATTGTTCTTTTGCAGCCCTGGATGTCTAGCACTGGTTTTCTTTAACAAAAAAGTTAGATGGAAATCGTTTCATGGGAATATTCTACAAAAAACACAATGAAAAATTGTGTTAAATTTCATTCAACAATTTCAGAATGCATGAACACACAGAAATATACTTTTGACTTAATAGAAAAAACAGGACGATTAGTACTGTACTTAAAATGGTGTGATGATTTACCTGGCTGGCACATGCAGGCACCAGAGATGTGGTCACACTGGGCACCGTTGGCACAGCTGCAGTTCATGGCACACCCAGACCCATAGGTTCCGACGTCACACGCTATAAGGAAAAAAAGTCATATAAATTATAAAAAATAATAATAAACAGACGATGAGTCGCAATAACGTGGCTGATGATATAATAAAATAATGTGGCGTTCCTTAACTGTAAGAATTCCAGCTTGCTCATATGCTTAATTCCTAAACCTACTAGAATTACACTAGAAATGTTCTGCAAATCAAGGGACCCAGAAAAAATAAGTATATAGTAACTAAATACAATTGTATGAACAGGAGTTACACATACTAATAAAGCCACTATTACCCAAAGCATTTTGGTCAAAACAAAAAAGAAATGGACAGAAAATTAAACTAAAAGTGTGAGGGGGTAAACCACTCAATACTACTGGAGAAGTAAGTTAACAGAATGAGAACATTCATGGAAAATAACAAATGAATGCAAAAAGGTAACACTTAAGGATGATAGACAGACTATTACGATATGGAGTCAGTAGATAAAGCAATAGTACAGCAGTTTATTTACATTAATACCAGAATGGAAATACAAGGTGTAGTTTAGAAAAGCAACTGGACTCTCTCATAACATTTTCTTTGGAACATACCATGAGTAAAATTACTACTGTATTTTACTGTGTTCTGTTAAGTCTGAGATGGACACTAGTATCTCAAGCCATCACCAGGGCAACACATATTGGATTTATCATTAATTGCATTTTTTCACTGGCACTGTATGCAACAATAAAGTATCATGGACAGAGATGCAATGGTAACTCACGTATTTTGCACTGAGGTCCCCGCCAGCCCGGGGCACATATGCACTCCCCAGTGACACGGTCACAGCCTCCATTGTTATCACAGTGACACATGTGCACACAGTCCTGGCCATAGCGTCCCAGTGGACACGGCTGGCCACAGCTGGGGCCTGTGAATCCCGGCAAGCACTCACATCTGAAGCACAACAGACAGGTGCATTATTTGATAATAGAATACTGTACAGTACATGTATACTCAATATTTACATTTTGTATATATACTGAATAAGAATTATGAATTTTAAAAAGAATAACAAAACATTGTTGAATGTATCTTTGGCATTTGTCAAATACGTGATCACTTCCTGCTAGAGGAACTTCTATCAGGACCAATCTTCACCCTATTATACATTATTGGACCCATTCTCACCTGTTGGAACCACTTCTCACCTAACAGGACCACACTTGCCAGTCCACTTATCCCTGTCAGGACCACCTACTGTATATTTGACCTTACCACCTAAAGTCCAATTTCCTGAAAATATTACCTACTTTCCAAGACCCTTACAAACTATCAAGTCAGCAGGCTGAGAACTTTTCTTTTCCATAGCTCATGGTAAGCTTTGCCTTACTAAATTTCCATGGAACATAACCCACCAATTGGTTAACAACCAGGTACCCAATTAACTGGGTAAGTTGGGGTGAGCCGTTAAGGACTGGCACCAAGTCAATCTTTCCTAGCCAAGACTCAAACCCAGACCAAATCGCTTGTGAGGCGTGGGGTGATTGTATTATTACTATGCCACTAGGGACTGTGTAACATGTGCTGGGACCATAGCCAACTTGCTGAAGTTCCCACAGCAAACTGCCTCGCTTCTTGCAGGTCAGCATTCATCAACAGAACAAATCCACAAGGGCCGTGACGAGGGTTCGAACCTATGTGAGAAAGGATCCCAGACACTGCCTTAATCACCCCTTGTGGATTTGTTCATTTGATGCATCATGCTATTGTGATTTCTGCAATCCAAGTGGTTGGAAGCATTCCTTTCTCCATCCTACCCCAGATCCTTATCCTCACATGCCTTTCAAGTGCTAAACAGTCATTATTGTTTACTCCTGATAATTTCCTTACCTTACTTTTAACCTCAAGGGTCCATTGCACATTTAAGAGATCCACTTAACACCTGGAAGATGAAAAACACTCTTAAGGATCTACTGTTCTCATTGGAAGCTGATCATTACTCACTTCCTGGACTCTCTCTATATATAAAGCCCATGCATGTTTAAGAAGAGAAATATATACATTTTTTAGTTCATAATATGCCAAAGGCAACCTTCCTCTGCCATTCTCTTAGAGTACCTCCCCTTTCTTCTTTCCATCATTCTCCTCTCAGAACACCTAACACCTCTTCCCCCCCCCATCACTATCCCCTCAGAGGTTCTGCCCTCTTCATGTTGCAGTACTCAAAAGAGCAACAGTACCCAAAAGAGCAGCAGTACCCAGCAGTGCCGCGAAGGACTCACCTGCCGGTGAGCTGGTGACAGGATGCACCATTGAAGCAGGTGCAGTTCTCGCTACAGTCGACACCAAACCTGTCAGCTGGACACGGGGACTTGCACTCCGGACCCTGAGGAAAACACAACACTCCCAACACCTTCACATAACAGTACTACATATACAAATAATAACATTAAATATTGCTGCACATTCAGCAATGTGCCCACCATTCAGTCACAGGACTCGCCATTTAGAAACGAGTAATTATGGCAACAGTCACAAAAGTCTTCCTAACATTTTAAAATCTGGGTAGAATACCTTTTGTAGTTGCCTTTAGTGACTCGAGATCCTCAATGATGCCCTGTAATAGGTTACCTCCCTCAGTGATGCCTTGCAGTTACTTCCATCAATAATGGCCTGTAGTGGCATATATCCCTTAGTGATGTCCTATAGTGGTATATCTCCCTAAAAGGTGCCCTGTAGTGCTCTATCTCTTATAATGATGCTTAGTGGCTTATCTCCCACTATAAGATGTATTAGGCTAAACTAACATTTACCCAAAACATCTGGTACAGAAGTTACCATGAAATCAATAATGCCACCTTAAAATGCATTTAAATATCTCCATTGATAATTAAATAACAACTGATAATGAGGCAACAATGAGGTAACTATAGTAAACTAACATCAACTCACAACAAATCCTGGAGGACAGAGACACTCGCCAGTAACACGGTTGCAGGTGGCACCTCTCAGACACTGACACTTCTGTTGGCAGCTCTGGCCCCAGGAGCCCTCCGCACAATCTGGGAAAGTATTTTTTGGCTATCTAACATGATACTGAAGCCGTTCTCTGAATAATAAATCATGAGCAATAGGTTATTATTTAGTATATCACTGAGGTGGTTTGAAATCGACATCACGTTTAATATAATTGAGCAAAAATTATCATATTTTAATCTTTTAAAAATTTTGTACTCTGACAGCACTGCAAACCAGGCATGACATGGCATATCTCATCAAAACTTTTTAAAATACTCAATAGATTGGACGATGTTGATTCAGACAATGTCTTCAAAAGGTCAAATTTAAAACAAGAAGCAATGGTTTCAAGCTCATCAAGCCATACATGGTTGTGAGGGTGGTGGGATATATATGGTTGTGGGGAAGCGAGCTATAATACGGGCAATAATTGATGTTATCCAAAAGATGGTAACCAAGGCACTCACGGAGAAGACAGTTGGGCCCGTGGGTGCCAGCAGGACAGAGGCAGACGCCAGTGGCAGGGTCACATGGCCGCAGGCCACACATACATGCCCTCATGCACCCAGTACCATAGTGGCCCACCTCACACGCTGTTGGCAAACGCATAGTTGTCTCACTATTGTTAAAACTCTTATGTAGGTATATATACTGTATATATATTCCAGTCTATTGCTCATACAGTATGTGAAAAGAATGAAACACAGAAGGCGAAGAATATTACGCTTGAGGCAGTCCGGTCCAGTGAATCCTGGAGGACAGTCCCGAACACAGGTCCCTGTAGCAGGATGGCAGGTGGAATCGCTTGAACAGTTGCACTCATGCAGGCACCCGGCACCCCAATGGCCAGCTAGACATTCTTGGGAGCAGTCAGAGCCCACGTAGCCAGGCTGACACTGACACACACCACTCTTAGACGGTAGTGAAAAGAAGTTGGATTAAATTAAGCAAAAACAAATTTTGTGGTACCATGAAAGGCCAGTCTTTCTTATAGATAAATGAATTGCAAATGACTCATAATATTACTATACAAAATTTTTTGATAAGTTGGAGCCATTGCTTTTTAATACTGTCAAAAACAAGACCTCTCATGAAGATCATAACACTATACATCATAACTATCACAACAACAAAATCATGCAGCATGTTGATAAAGAAAAAGGAGCTAGGAATTATGATTCTCCTATCATTGATAGTGGCTCAGCAAGCATTAGCTGCAGTAAAAGAAAATGCTGGGAATATAGTGGTTATTCACACATACAAATCTCTGGTGCAAAAAAAAAAAAACTCATACTGAGAAAGGCTATAGGAACTATGAAGGCTGCCCCATGTACAGTTTTAAATGCAGATATGATAGAGCCCAATAGGATCGGGAACCTATACACCAGTTGACTGACAGTTAAGCGGCGAGACCTAAGAGCCAAAGGTCAACCATCACAAGCACATTTAGATGAGTATAGGGCTGATTGCCTCGAAACTTTTACAATACTGTACTGAACAAGTTAGAGGATACTGACCCTATCACTTCATTATAAGGTAAAATGTAGCACCTACAAGGGGCAATATCTACATCTCAACAAGCCAGGACAGAATGCAGGGCAGAAAAAGAGCATGCCAAGAGTGCCAATGGTTGCATACCTCAGGGTGACACTGCAGTGTGGTGTGAGCCTGGCACTGGCACTGATGACGACAGTTGGGGCCCCATGTGAGGGCCGGGCAGGGCATGTTGCATTTGGGGCCAAAGCGTCCTGGATCACACTCACAGAAGCCGAAGATTCTGTTACACCTCATATTGGGGCACATCATGGGGCAGCGGCGCTTGCACTCATCTCCGTAGTACCCTGGCAAGAGACACCAGTCACGTCATGTAGTACAGAAAACCTTGTAGTTTGGACGTGGAGGAAAGGGTGGGTGACAAAAAATATTAGAGCTTGGATGGGGTGAAAAAACAAATTGCAGTTTTGATGGAGGGACAGAAAAACTTGTTTGGAAGGGGTAACACAACAACCTTGTAGTTTGGATCTGAAAGCCAGAAACACCTAGTTCAGGTGGTGGGAACTGGGAAAAAACAACTTATATTTTGCATGTGTGGGGAAAACAAAACGTTTGTAGTATGGATGAAGAGAATAGGAAAACCTTGTAGTTTGGATGGGGGAAGACAGGAAAATCTTGTAGTTTGGATGGGGGAAGACAGGAAAATCTTGTAGTTTGGATGGGGGAAGACAGGAAAATCTTGTAGTTTAGATGGGGGAAGACAGGAAAATCTTGTAGTTTGGATGGGGGAAGACAGGAAAATCTTGTAGTTTGGATGGGGGAAGACAGGAAAATCTTGTAGTTTGGATGGGGGAAGACAGGAAAATCTTGTAGTTTGGATGGGGGAAGACAGGAAAATCTTGTAGTTTGGATGGGGGAAGACAGGAAAATCTTGTAGTTTGGATGGGGGAAGACAGGAAAATCTTGTAGTTTGGATGGGGAAAGACTAGCCTGACTTTTCCCAGGATACAAACTACAATTGTTTTGCATAAAAGGTCTTGCGTTGCCTGGAATTCAAAGCCAAAACCGGAGCCAAACAAGTCCACACCTAGAGGGCAGCCAGAGAGTCATCACCTCACCCAGAGTCACCTCACATTCAGAGTCATCACCTCACCTGCAGGACATCCGTCTTGGCAAAGGTCGCCAGACACGCCCGGGGGACAAGTGCAGTTTCCGGACACAGGATCGCATGTGCCGCCATTCTCGCACCTACACACCTGCAGAAACTTAAGTTAGTTGTGACACACATATAGGACTCCAGTTGATGCTTGAAATCGGTCTCGTCCCACTTGTTCAGTGACCCAGCATTTACGTTTGTATTTATTTATACTGTATATACAACAGTTCTTACATTCTTGTATAGCCAGGATGGGTGTAGTTCAGGAGGAAACAACGCCACTTGCAGTGGCGTTTCGGGCAGGTCCTTAATCCAAATATTTTTCCGGAATACTGTGCCTAATCGTTTAACTACCAGGTACCCATTCACTGCTGCGTGAACAGAGGCTACAGTTAAGGATTGGCACCCGGTCAATCCTCCCTGGCCAGGATATGAACCCAGGCCAAAGCGCTCGTGAAGCGCTGGGTGAATGTTTTACAACTGCGCCACGGGGACTTACGGGGACTGCTAAGTTCCCGTGGCCCACATGGTACGGCTAAGTCTAAGTCTAAGGTAAGCATGGTCTAGTCCCACCAATATTACACTTACTAAGAACTAATAAAATATTTTCTCTAGATCTGCACAAACAAAATAGAACATTAAATTAAATCGTTCACATATATATTCAATCAATAAAGGGTCACATCAATCTAATGTTTTCCCGAAGACTCCCACAAGAGAGGCGGGAAGGGGAGATGGGAGGACTCACCTGGTTACAATCTGGCCCATAGGATCCCAGAGGACAGGTGAGAGAGCAGGTGGGGCCAGTGGTCCCAGGAGCACACACACAACCTGAGCCATCGCACTGGCCGGGACAATCAGCACATGTTAGAGTACAGTTGGGACCAAACTGACCTGGAACACAACCTGGGTAGGAGAGAGAGAGAGAGAACCAGTAAGGTCTTGGGGGGGAATGGAGGGTTGGTTAGGCACTGAACATAATACCCATCATCTGCTGATCATAACACCCCCCCTCCCTTATCCTCTTTCCTGACACTAAATTCAATCTTAATACATTATAACAATAATTTTCTGAAAAAATCAGGAGGAGCTATGAGGAGGATTCGAACCCGCTCACTTGGAACTCCCAAGCAAACGTCTTAGATCACTATACCACGACATGGTTAAAAGCAATGCAACCTGGGATTTCACTGAATCCTTTAGGCGGGTACTGAGGCTTCCAACTGAAGCCCAATCGGGGTTTTAAGCACTGAATCTGTATCATACGATTATGTTACGTTGTTCGGTTGATTAGATACACAGAGTTTAGTGGTTTTGATATTTATTTAATAGTCTTGGTTACATCAGTCGGTTGTTGACAGTGTCATTTACGTTGAGGCGAAGCCTGGAGCGTAGCAGAGAGCTGAGTGAAACCGGAGTCACGGAGTTCCATGCCGGACAAGAGCGTGGCAGCTCGATGCCCTACAAGAGCGTGGCAGCTCGATGCCGGACAAGAGCGTGGCAGCTCGATGCCGGACAAGAGCGTGGCAGCTCGATGCCCTACAAGAGCGTGGCAGCTCGATGCCGGACAAGAGCGTGGCATCTCGATGCCGGACAAGAGCGTGGCAGCTCGATGCCGGACAAGAGCGTGGCAGCTCGATGCCGGACAAGAGCGTGGCAGCTCGATGCCCTACAAGAGCGTGGCAGCTCGATGCGGCCAGAGTCTGCTCTGTGTGGAAGCTGAAGTGTCTTGGGGTCGGTTGGAACTGCACATGTCGAGTGCTACATTCTTGAGGTTGAAGATGTGCTGTAACTCTCAAGCATCAGTACTGAAGCTAACTGAACCACTATTAAAATTATAATTACCACAAATTAACGATTGATGAAGATTAAGCCACCCAAGAGGTGCCACGGGCATGAATAGCCCGTAAGTGGTGGCCCTTTTGAGCCATTACCAGTATCATTAGCTGATACTGGAGATCTGTGGAGGTGCGACTGCACCCTGCGTGATATTTGGTGGATTATACTCCAGTAGCGAGTATATTATTGATATAATATACTCGGTACTGTAGAATTAACGGACCCATCTCAGTATCTGCACATAAGCTAATGAGAGTTTGGAACTAGTTATATTAGATTCAGCTACTTCGAACAAAAAACTTCACGTAGCACGGGCTATAGTGAACCCGTAGTGGACTTTGCCTAGCACAAGAGCAGGACTGTATGTGCGTTTGAGCAAGTATATTACTGATATAATATTCTTGCTACAACCTATTTACTGCTAGGTAAAAAGATGCATTAGGCGACAGGAAACCCGTCCAACCCACGGGAGACATCTCCCGTCACGCAGGGTGCAGTCGCACCTCCACAGATCTCCAGTATCAGCTCTTGATACTGGTAATGGCTCAAAAGGGCTACCACTTACGGGCTAGTCATGCCCGTGCCACCTTTTGGGTGGCTTAATCTTCATCAGTCAATCCGTCCAACCATTTCTGTCCCACTTGGGATTAGAACCCGGAACTCGATCGTGAGTCAAGAACGAACCCGACTGTACTACGGAGACCCTTCGCTTCTCTTCGATTACCTTACTTTAAAATATGTTGATACTTAGAGTTTATATTGGTGAGTTTGGCTCGTTTGACACTGAACATTAACAAATCGTCTCCTCATTCTGACCTAAACATAGCAATATATATATTTATAAAATATACATAAAAAATATACAATGGATAATTAGTAGGTACAGAAAATGCATATCAAATAAGGTCACTAATACACAAATCGATTCGCGCATAACTTAAAACAAATCAGTTAAAATATATCCGTAAGAACAGCGTAAGAGCACTCGATAAGGATTAATGAGTAAGTTGACCAGACCACACACTAGAAGGTGAAGGAACGACGACTTTTCGGTTCGTCCTGGACCATTCTCAAGTCGATTCTCAAATCTGAATCTCAAGTCGATAATTCGGTCCAGGACGGACCGAAACGTCGTCGTCCCTGCACCTTATAGTGTGTGTGGTCTGGTTAACATACTTCAGCCACGTTATTGTGACTCATCGCCTGCATTAATGAGTAAGTTTAGTAGTAAAGAAGTTGGCCAGGAGGCAGCGCAAGACTCACGAGTATGGACGGTACTGATCTTGGCGTATTCAGCATATGTGACGTCATCCCACTGGTCATCATCCTTGGCCGACGTCTCTTCAATTACTTCGGAATCCTCCTCTAAGGTCGTCTTGAGGTCCAGGTCCCCACGAAAGCTCTGAGACGTATAGTCGTCGTCTACCACTGATGACAATGGAAGAAAAACATCATAGTGCAATAATGTAATTAGCAATTTGTAAAGCACTATTAAGTCAGTATGGCTACATAGCACTGCAATCTAGAGCTCAATTACAAGTAATAAAATTATATTTAAGATGATTCAATGCCGTCTTTAAGAGTTTCTGAGAAGTACAGTTCTTTATCATTCTAAAAAAAAAATAGGATATTTATCTAGAAGGTGTAAGACAGTAAATAAGGAATGACAGTCAGGAAGGCAGGTTTTTCTTTACATCAAATAACCATAGAGTTATGTCAAGTCTTTTCAAACAATGTTGATTATTGACCAACTTGTATAACTGCTGAAATCTGCCATGTATAAACTTGAAGAAAATTGTAGTCATATGCTTATTTAGTTAACATTACTTCTGCTGTTCGTTCCATCATGTAATTATTATCATTTTTTTCTCCTTTTTTTTCAATTCAATTTATGCTTTGATCTCAATTAGTTTTAAGTTTTATTCTAAGTGTTTTTCCCACATCTTGTCAGAAAGTCTGTGCGTATTAGTGGCTTTATTAATATTATGTACTAGCTCTAGCTAGAACTCCAACATTCTCTTTGTAACTCATCTTATATGCATGTACTTTTACCTGATAAACATGATTCACCAAAAGAACGTATAGTCCATGTGGACCTTAAGGCCAATAATGTTATGATAGATTCCAGCGACCCATTGAAGCCTAAGGCTTCAATAATAGACTTCGGGGTCTCCACTTTCGCTAGGCAAGTCTCCCCTGCATGTATTTCTTATTATAATTTCCCGATTATTATTCGGGCAATTATCATATTATTATTTTATTGCCTGAAACGCTATGCGTGCTAGTGGCTTTACAAGAATGTAAAATCAACATCATTTCTATGTACTCTCTTAACCCCCAATGTACCTTCTTGTATATAAATAAATAAATTGATAAATAAATATAATAGTTTACCTAGTATGGCCAAAAAGCATGCGCGCTAAGACAATTTCCCATTTTCTATTCCGATCCAAAGCAGGTCAAGAGAAAACTTATTGTTTCATGAAGGCAAACTTTATTATTTGATAAACTCGTTCATTTCTCCATTTTTTCCAGATTCAAATTATTCCGTTGAAACAAGATGGAGTGTATGATTAGGAAAATATGTTTTGAGAGTAGAGGACATGCCTTGCGTCGAGGGGGTGTATTTATCGGTGTGTTGTATATACACTGAAATTATTAAATCCGTCAGGGAAGGGGGGAGGCTAATTTACAATTCCTTCACCTGGGGGGTGGAGGCCTGGGGGTGGAGCTGACTAACACCCAGGTACCTATTTTACTGCTAGGTAACAGGGGCATAGGGTGAAAGAAACTCTGCCCATTGTTTCTCGCAGGGATCGAACCAGGGACCACAGGATCACAAGTCCAGTGTGCTGTCCGCTCGGCCGACCGGCTCCCCGACCGGGATTCATACAGTTCCTGAATCTATTATATGTACTTCTGTAACCAGCTTATTCTTAAGTGCCACCTATGTGCTGATTAAAGAACTTGTAGAAATTAGCTTTCTACAAGTGTTGCAAGTTATTATTTCCACTGAACTTCTTGGATATACACATACTGGAAATTTGACTTAAGATTATATGAAGCAAAGATACCCGGTAAGTGGGCAGGATATGTAGGTATGATTGAAGAGGAGGACTCCATGTAGTCGAGAGCGTACCAGGGCCTAACCCAACTGTTTCACTAAGCAATGTTTTTGTAAAATCAAACACTAAGTTTGATTTAGTGTTGGTCTTAACTCCTCTCAACCTCCGGAAGGTTATTAAGGCAACAACAGCAGCTTACTGACCAACTAGCAAGTATACCTTAGTCTTGGACTATGTACAGGACTGAAGTAAACTCTCAATGTATGTACACAGAGAAGCAGGGTACACCTTTGTGTGTATATTCCCTGTGAAAAGGATTGTTGTTTAAGATTCTGCAACTCTGAACGAAAAGTTCCAAGTAGCACGGCTATGGTGAGCTCGTAGTGTACTTACCTAGCACAGGAGCGGGGCTGTAACTTGGGAAAACGATTGGAAGACATTTAATGAGGAAAAGACCCACTGAAGACTTACTGTCACAGTGGTTGCGATCGACAAGGACGTATCCCCTGCGGCAGGAGCATATGAAGGAGCCTTGTGTGTTCCGGCACTCGTGCTCGCAACCTCCATTCTGCAACTGGCATTCGTCCACATCTGAAGGGGACAATCAGAAGTACTGGAGGTAGAATACATGTTACATATGCAGCTAGAAATCACAATCCCATCAACCTGACACGTTGATGTGGGAGAAGCAACCCACCAGCACAGGTGAAGGTGTCGGAGCTGAGGGTGTAGCCCTGGGTACAGGCGCAGGCATAGCCCCCTGCGGTGTTGACACACTCCTGCTGGCACCGGTGGGTCTTCGCCTCACACTCGTCCTCGTCCTGAAATGGAAACAAAGAGGTAGACAATTGCCCGCTGAGGTCACTCCTTATGGAACTGCAGTGTGCCAGTCAGAGTGCGCAGGTAGCCTGGGGTCACAAGTGTTATCACTCACCTGACAGCTGCGACGGTCTTGGTGCAACAGGTAGCCTGGGTGACAGCTGCAGACTGCTCCTCCTGCTCCATGACGACACATGTGTTGACATCCACCGTTGTTCACCAGACACGAGTTGATGACCTCCATATCGATCACTGTAGGTGGAGGTCAGGTCAGGTCAGATATCACGGTGAATGAAGGCCTGGTCAGAAAGTTGGCAAATCTCTGGTTAGAAACCATTGAAAGTCATGTCAGATTGCTCTGGCTGGAAGTCAGGTCAGCTCATTGTGGGTGAAGATCAGGTCGAATCACAGAGGGTTACACCAGGTCAGATCAGGTCACTGAATGTAGAGATGTGCTTACAGAGCTTTCTGAATGAAGGTCATAGAGAACACAGTCAGAAAATGTAGTTAGATTGCTGTATCAAAACAAGGCATGGGCTGTTTTGACACATTAAATATTTTAACTGAATAAATGCGAATGTATTGGCACAAGTGAGGATGAAAAATATCCATTGCAGATAGTGAAGAGAGTGACGATGGTACACTGCTAGTAAGCAATGTTGATACTTGCGAGAAAGACAATGTTGATAGTACATTAGAGGCTTGTGTTCTCACCTAATTGTGCTGATGAGTGGTTGAGCTTCGGCTCTTTGGTCCCGCCTCTCAACCATCAATCAACTGGTCTACAGATTCTTGAACCTATTGGGCGCTATCAAATCTATATTTGAAACTTTGTATGGAGTCTGCCTCCACCTCATACCTAGTGGTGTTAACTACTTGTTAACTACTCTGACACTAAAAAAGTTCTTTCTAATGCCTCCTTGGCTCATTTAGGTACTCAGTTTCCACCTGTGTCCACTTGGGTGTGTACCTCTTGTGTTAAATAGACTGTCTAGCTACCCTATAAATTCCTAAGAATCTTGTAATGTAGGTGATCATGTCTCTCCTAACTCTTCTGTCTTCAAGCGACGTGAAGTTTAGTTCCCGTAGTCTCTCCTCGTAGCTCATACCCCCCAGCTCGGGTACCAGCCTAGTGGCATACTTTTAAACCTTCTACCATTTAGTCTTGTACTCGCCTAGATGTACCCACCAAGGGATAAATTAAGTACCCCTAAGGGGTTATGGATACCTCTAATGGGTACATAAGCTGTAACCATTATATTACCCCAATATTTTGAAAGTTTTACTGTACTGTTCCCAAGCCAAATATAAATATAATTGTGCATTGTCACGAAGCAGTTACGCAAGTTCTTACGAACGTGTACATCTTTCCTCAATCTTTGACGAGTTTGGTTACATTTATTAAACAGTTTACAAGCATGAAAACTTCCCAATCAACTGTTGTTATTGTTATAAACAGCCTCCTGGTGTCTCGGAGCTCATTAACTGTTTAATAATTGTAAACGAAGCCGCAAAAGATTGAGAAAAGATGTACACGTTCGTAAGTACTTGCATAACTGCTTCGAGAACCTGGCCTCAGTTATCGAGAAGCTTACCCGAAAAGATAAGTTTGATAAATGAGTAACAGGAGTAATGACTCACGAAATAAAAGTGATTACTCGCCAGACGTCAGCAGTGTGTTTTGATCAATAAACTGTATTATTTAAGTTGCTTACACGTAGCTAGAGCAAGTCTGGCAGAGAGAGAGAGATCTACATACTGTAACAGGACTTGTGGTCAGTGCCAAGCTGGTAGCCGGCATTACAGAGGCACTCATAGGAACCCCAGGTGTTCCGGCACTGGTGACTGCAGGTTCCGGGCACCCGGCACTCGTCCAAGTCGACGCAGGAGATCTGGTCGTCGGCCAGAGTGAAGCCCCGCCGGCAGGAGCAGCGGGCCTCCCCCTGCTCCACCCGACATTGGTCCTCACACCCGCCATTGTCCACAGAGCAGGGATCCTCCGCCTTTTCACACGTTCGCCCGTCGACGCCCACAAGGTACCTGATGCAGGAACAGATGGTTTGTACCCAGAGACAGTACAGCAGTTTAATATTCATCTGGAAAAATAGTCAGGAACAATATGGGGTGAGCCTATGGCAACCCTTCGGCCTCCTGTCCTCGTCGGAGCTACCTACAGATGTTGGCCCTTGAGTAACTTCAGGTAATGTTTAAGTGTATTTAATTATACTCGGCCTCTCTCTTCCCCTTATACTCAGCCTCCCTCTCCCCCTTTTTTTTTAGGTACTATTTAGGTTTTACTTTTTAATAGGGCATGGGTTGGACAATTTTTTAATTCATTAGAGAGTGAGTTCCATAGACTGGGCTATGGAACTCATTTGAAAAGATTTAGTTTGACTCTGGGGATATCAAAGAGATATTTATTTCTGGTGTGCTGCTCATGGGTTCTCTTACACCTATCAAGGAAAAGTTTCAGATCAAGATTAGCATTTAGGAAAAAGGTTTTGTACATGTAAACAGCACATGAGAATGTGTGGGGTGAGTGTATGTATAGCATGTTAAGGGACATAAACAGAGGAGCTGCGTGTTGTCTGAAGACAGAGTTAGTTACAGTCCTGATAACTGATTTTTGCCGAGTGATGATGGGCTTGAGGTAATTATTATTATCTCAATTATTATTATTAATGGTTAATTATTATTAATTATTAAATTATTCAAATTCAAAAGTTTATTCAGGTAAAAGAACATACAGAGAAGATGAGTTACAAACACAATGTTGGATCTATATATAGAGCCAGTACATACAATACCTAAAGCCACTAATACGCATAGCGTTTCGGGCAAAAAGTAGAGTTCCTTCTCGACTCACAATCGGGAATTCTGGATTCAAATCCCTGGCTCGAAAGACATGGTGTGACGTGTTTTCGAACACCTAATCACCCTGTTCACCCAACAGTTAATAGGTACTCCAGGAGTTAGACAGCATGTACGGGGCTGCTGCAGCCTGGCGAGTCCCAATAGGAATTCTTAATTGCGAGTTGAGGATGAAGCAGACGATATTACCGAAACACACAGCACATTAGTGGTTTTGCATAAAGTGCATTGTGTACTTACGAATACTCCACTTATCATGTCTCAAATATACCTTATATAAATAAAAATGATTAATTATGGTGTATCAGATCAATTATAGGATAGGTTACGCTGTCTTCATTTTCTTCATTTGTGACTCCAGCAAGTTTTCATTGATTGTTGAAAATGGTAGATGGTGGACTATTATATTCTCCGCAACTAAAGAATTTACCTGAGGGCCACTAAAACATTTTAGTCGACTCGACGAGGACAGGAGGCCGTCGGCTGGTCAATGGTCCCCCCCCCAACTTGTCCTGATATTTTCTAGCCGGATTGTAAAATTCAACAGCTTTTTGGCATTTAAGGCTTCGATGGGAAGGCGGTTTAAAGAATTCATAACCCTGTGGGTGAAAAAGCATCTCCTATTTTCAGTCTTAAATTGTGGCTTATCGAGCTTGAAACCATTGCTCCTTGTTTGTGTCACATCTGACCTTTTGAAGAAACTGTCCGGATCAACATCCTCCAAACTATTCAGTATTTTCAATGATATTCAATGATACCAAACTGTTCAGTAAGTTTCAATGATATCCGCCCCGTCATGCCTGGTTTGCAGTGTTGCTATCCCTTAGGCCCCGAACCGTTCCTGATAAGAGAGTTAACTTAGTCCTGGAATGATTTTTGTTGCCCGGTGTTGAACTTTCTCCAGAGCAGCTATGTCCTCTTGAAGATTTCTCCATGCTTGGATACAATAATCCAAGTGAGGCCACACCAGAGATTTATACAGTTGAATGGGGCGGCCCCCTCAGGTCAGAGCACAATTTCACAATAAACACCAAAGATCGATGGTTTGACATTGGCGGGGACAGGAAGCCTGTGCTTAGGTTCGAGGACCTACTAGCTAGACCAACTACCAACCTTCCCCACGACGCAATCCACAAGCTGCCCATCTCCCAGCCACCTATTTACTGCTAGGTAAACATGTAGAGTCATCAGGTGACAGGCAACTGTCCTGCCTAGGGGACCTGACCCCCGTGACCTCTTGTATCGAGTTGATGACATAGATCGCTGCACCATAAGACCCTTCTAATGCTATAACAGTGTTGAGACAAACGGTCACCCACACTACCATGTGTATATACATTGCATTCCAGCTGGTTAGTTGATTCTGTAATTTTTCCTTATTAACACCTATTAAGGCACCATAGCATGGTGGCTAGAGCTGTCTCTCACTCGTGGAGTCGGTGGTTCGAGTATCTTAGTACCCAGTGAATGAAAAGAAGATTTTGGATAACTTATCAACTTTGATAAGTAACAAAAGAAACATAGATAAGTAGATAAATAGATAAAGTAGATAAAGTAACAATTTTGACAACTAAAGCCTAAAAATTAATCAAACTTGCTAGCCTAAAGTCAACGCCACACACATTAAAGCTGTACATACCCAGGGCGACAGGAGCAGACGACCTTCCCGGAGGCGTCGCTGCAGAAGTGGTCGCAGTAGCCGTTCCTAACACTGCACGCCGCCTCCCCTGCCGTGCCCCACACCCACATGGGCATCACATTAAACAACAACAGTACCAATAGTCGACGTATATGTGTGTACCCGTTAAGAGAGCACACATACACACGTACAATACCTTACTTTATAAATCTACCGTATATACCATTATTTAGACAACACTGATAACTAATGTACCATATATACTATTACTTAAAAAGCTACTGACAATGTGCCATAATGTGACAATGTTTAGATAGCTTGCGTAAAAAAGGAAGCTTGTTAATCCATAGAGGTTTTATATGAGGTAAAGAACAGGTACAGAAATAGGTTTAGCGAGCAACAAAATAACCATATATACTTATCCCATATTTAACATACAAGCAGTTATAACTAAATATCTTTCTTGCAGACATATGTTATTGATTATGACAGTAAGGGTGAGATCAATGATGCTAGCACGAATCTTCTCTATATTTGGTATGTTCTTGATTTGAGTCATTGACGAATTAACTCTCTAGTCCACTTTATAATTTTATTATGGACTGATGCTAAAAGATGCGTTTCGTTGTTCCTGTCAACATTTTCATAGGCAGTAGAACTGGATATAATTCTGGAACTTTTCCTTGATAGGTCTAAGAGAACCCATGAGCACCAAAGGTACCTGGGTGTTAGTCAGCTGTCACGGGATGCTTCCTGGGGGTGGAGGCCTGGTCGAGGACCGGGCCGCGGAGACACTAAAAAAGCCCCGAAATCATCTCAAGATAACCTCAAGATAACACCAGAAATAAATATCTCTTTGATATCCCCAGAGTCAAACTAAATCTGTGTAAACACTCCAGGTAAATAAAAAGGGCCCAGTCTATGGAACTCACTCTCTAATGAATTAAAAAATTGTCAAACTTTTGCCCTATTATAAAAGTAAAACCAAAAAGTACCTAATTTCATCCTCATAGTTTCCTACCTTGTGCTTCAAACTCACACTATATCTTGTACTACCACTTCCTTAATATTAGGACTTAAGACATATATCTTTACCAGTGTAATCACCTCTTGCCAATTTATATTATGGTTATATGTTAATATAAATTTTGGCCTCAATGTACCTTTTGATCTTATCTGATATGTTAGATTAAGGACCTGCCCGAAATTCTATGCGTTTTAGTAGCTTTACACAAGAATGTAAAAATACCAAATCTTATGTAATCACACAAACCCATTGTACCTTCTTGTAAATCAAAAATTATTATTATTATCTTTTATTGATGTATCTGTCGAGTACTTCAGTGTTGTCAGGCTATCTCTGGTGATGATATAGGGGTGTATTTAGAGAAATGTTCTTTGGTGAAATCTTGCTGTTTGCGTATTATAAGGCGTTTTAAAAGATATTTTGTCTTGCCTGTATACTAAAATCGATGGGGGCTGACAGCCCCATCAAGTGGGCATGTGAAGGCATAGACGACATTCATCTCATTCAAGGCGTTTCGCTTGCTGTCGGGAGAGTTCTTCATGAACAAGTTCATCAAGTTCATGAACAAAGAGATGCTGTTATTGTAGATTCTTCACTATCTTCTGGCCAGTGTTACTAAGGGTCACGTTCCTGGCAGTAATGTTCTTCAATGAATCGTTGATTGATTGATTGATTGATGCAGATTAAGCTACCCAATAGGTGGCACGGGCATGAATAGCCCCGTAAAGAATAACTGATCTCTCCCTTCGTCATATTCAATAACACGTCTACAAGACAAACTAGTTACCTCCAATGTATACTATATATACATTACAATTATACTTAGAGCTACTTTAGAGATGCCAAATAAAGACAAAAATACTGAATTAAATATTTATGAAAGGTAAATTGCTTGAGAGTATAGTGTTGAGGCAACTTAAGACACAGGCAGCACCTCGAGCACACACACACACACACACACACATACATACATTAGGCGGGATCCAAGAGTCAATGCTCGATCCTGCAGACACAACTAGGTGAGTACACACACACACACACACACACACACACACACACACACACACACACACACACACACACACACACACACACACACACACCCACCAGGACTATGGAGCAGCAAGGCTGGGAACTCACCAATGCAGGTACGATCGTCCAGCAGAAGGTGATACCCCGGACTGCAGCGACACAGGTAGGAGCCCACTGTATTAACACACTGGTGGGAACAGCCGCCGTTGTGGTACGCGCACTCGTCCACGTCTGTCGGTACATCACACAGTTACTGGCGGGAGCGGAGGCTCAGATGACGACGATAACATGGATGTCAGGACTATTGCACACTTACTGGCGATGCAGGGACGTGTCAGCTTCGTCAGGGACGTGTCAGCTTCGTCAGGGACGTGTCAGCTTCGTCAGGGACGTGTCAGCTTCGTCAGGGACGTGTCAGCTTCGTCAGGGACGTGTCAGCTTCGTCAGGGGACGTGTCAGCTTCGTCAGGGACGTCTCAGCTTCGTCAGGGGACGTGACAACATCGTCAGGGGACGTGTCAGAATCGTCAGGGACTAGATCTTAACCTTAATTGGGACTAATTCGTAGTAAATCTAATTTTACAGCTAGGAGGCTTTGAATAAATAGAACATCGTAAACGATGTCACAAGAGCCGGTCGGCCGAGCGGACAGCACGCTGGACTTGTGATCCTGTGGTCCCGGGTTCAATCCCGGGCGCCGGCGAGAAACAATGGGCAGAGTTTCTTTCACCCTATGCCCCCCTGTTACCTAGCAGTAAAATAGGTACCTGGGTGTTAGTCAGCTGTCACGGGCTGCTTCCTGGGGGTGGAGGCCTGGTCGAGGACCGGGCCGCGGGGACACTAAAGCCCCAAAATCACCTCAAGATAATCACAATAACGTGGCTGAAAAATATGATGACCAAACCCCACACACCAGAAGGTGCAAAAACTGACCAAATTATGTTTTTTTTTTTATTTATGGTTCAACCAAATTTATGGTTCAATTTGCAATTCGGTCCGTGTTGGGACATTATTATGTCGTGTGTGAGAACAAATATAAAACATGATTTCTGGTGGGCTGTTGCAAATGTGCATTTATTCGTTTGCCTTGTTCGGGTTGAATGTAGACACAGTAGTCGCTTCTGTATATATTTATTGACCGAGACAACAAGGTATATATCTGGCCAGCCGAGGTCCACCTTACTCTGGGTCTGAGAGAGAACTGAGACTGCTGGGAGCATGGCTTGATGCTCCTCTGTCTGGCATGACGTCAGAGGTCTACTTGCCTGTGATTGGTTACATTTCAACTGACAGAATTTGAGTATAACACATTAAACAATGAATTTAAGGAGATGCCCGTTTCTAACGATGCTTTTATTCGAGACACGACAAACTGAATACTTTGCATAACGAACCTATTACAATTAGCATGCCAAAAACCATAATTTTATAGTTCTTTGGTCTACTGAAGGTCTTTAAAGTCGATTAACATACAAATCACAATAGCGTGATGCATCAAATGAACATGGTCAGTAGAACTTCCGGTTGCAATTCTTTTTACCATGTCGTAGCTCAGTCGATTATGGCAGCGTCTGGGATCCTCTCGACCCAACCACTTGGGCTGGACGGTAGAGCGACGGTCTCGCTTCAGGCAGGTCGGCGTTCAATCCCCGACCGTCCAAGTGGTTGGGCACCATTCCCTCCCCCCGTCCCATCCCAAATCCTTATCCTGACCCCTTCCCAGTGCTATATAGTCGCAATGGCTTGACGCTTTCTCCCTGATAGTTCCCTTCCCTTGGGATCCTCTCGGGCGTAGGTTCGAACCGTCGTCACGGCCCTTGTGGAGTTGTGCAAAGTCGATTACAGTTGGCGGGCTTTTTTGAAGTCCAAACCCCGACCACCACCAGATGGCAAAGTATTCTTGGATGAGTATACGGTGGACAAGTGTGTTAGAAGGGAACAGTTAACCACTCACCTCGTCCGCCATGGATTTGAAATTGAATTGAAATTGAAATAAGTTTATTGAGGTAAAATACACACAAAGGGATGACGTAGCTCAAGCTATTCTCACCCCGTTGGATGGCTGTAGGCCGGGAACTACGGCGTTTGTTGGAACAGGAACAAAGTCGGTGAAAGGCTATACCTACCTTGGCATGAACGATTGTCTGTCATCAGCCTGTAGCCGGGACTGCAGCAGCACAAGAAGGAACCAATGGTGTTCTTGCAGGCTTGGTCACAGCCGCCATTGTTCTCCCGACACTCATCTCTGTCTGTCAACAGAAGCAGCACGTCAGTATAGGCTCCCTGTGTAGTGACATGACAAGAATGTACCGTCTGTCTGTCAACAGAAGCAGCACGTCAGTATAGGCTCCCTGTGTAGTGGCATGACAAGAATGTTCCGTTTCCTCACACCCCTGATAAGTACTTTCTTCACACACACCTTCACTACACACATACACACGCTTGGTGTAAGCACTTCAGTACACTATGGTCAATACTCCCGGGGCCTGTGGGATTCCCTCAGAAGTAAAATTTCAAGTTTAAAATTCCCCGCGCACACAGGTTACAACCTAACTACAAATACATTGTTTGTGTATATTTTCCGAACACACACGAGCGAAATCATTTCAACATTTTCAGTCCTATGACTCCCCCCCACCCCCCCACCCCTGGGCCGTGTCTACCGATTTATTCGCAAAAGGCTTATTCGTAATTTCTGTTCATACTGCGTTATCAAAAACAACATTTTATATAATATTAGAAATTATAGTTTTTGCATATTTATTTATTATTTATTTATTTATTTATATATATACAAGAAGGTACATTGGGTTTGTGAGAATACATTGGATAGTACAGTATTTACATTCTTGTAAAGCCACTAGTACGCACAGCGTTTCGGGCAGGTCCTTAATCTAACAGATAATTTTAAGTAGGTAATTTCTATCAGAATTGATAAATGATAAAGATACATTACAAGAGAAAAATGAGATGAGAGAGATAAGTAGGTATATTAAAGCACATTGTTATATTAAAGCTCTGATTGATTACATTGACAGCTTGATTAGTAATTTAAACAAGGTTAGTAGACACCATACAGCAGATTGACAGCACATATAAGACAGCAATGATCACAATGGTAAAGATGTTCAGATTCGGTACATAAAGATTGGGTATAGTTATAGATATAGTTATACCTAGGGTAGGTTAGGTTAGGTTAGGTTAGGTTAGGGTGGGTTAGGTTAGGTGTTTTTGGTTCAATAGAAAATTATTTTTATTTACTGAACGAGTCAAAGTTTGTTGCATAATAAAATTCACAATAGTGCGATATAGCTACGAGAATATCTACGGAAAAAATAATAAATCACATTTCAGTCCTGCGGGTAATGTGTGTGTTTTGTTTGTTGTTAAAGATTCGCTACTTGGAACAAAAAAAAGTTCCAAGTAGCACGGGCTATGGTGAGCCCGTAGGGTAATGTGTGAGTCTGAGGCCACCCGGGACGCAGGTTCAATGCTAACGGCCCTTGATCCGAATATATTTCTAAAGTTTGCTGCCTTTTAACTCGTCAAAAACGTTAACTGTTAATAAATGGCGCTCATCATGTGACTGGAATTATCGCATCCTGTTACCTGTTGCTCACTGACTGGTAACTGAAAGGGAGGAGGCCAAGAAACCTCCCATAGACTTGAATTCACAGTAAAGAGGTAGTTACGTGGTTAATGAGGGCGTGAGGCAGACCAGCACTATATCACTTACAAGATGAAGAGTGTGTGTGAGAGAGCACGAGTTACAGCCCCGCTCCTATGCCAGGTAAGTCCACTACGGGCTCACCATAGCCCGTGCTACTTGGAACTCGTTCCAAGTAGCTGAATCTTAAACAACAAGAAGTGTGTGAGAGCAAAGGTAGCCAAGGACCCCGGGGCCGGCAGGTATAGAGGCGTCGGCGGTATATACGATTGTTTCAGCCTAAACATAGATCTAACACCGATATTTGCAATAATATCAAAGGTGTTAACACATGACAGATAAATGGCATAACTCCAGTGACTGGTCGTCTCAGCCCCCATCTTGTTGTTGATAAAGAGTCGTCTTAATCGTTTTAGTCGTCTCGAATCTACCCGAAACGCTGCGCGTACTAGTGGCTTTACAAGATTGTAAATACTATGCTATGTATTCTCACAAACCCAATGTACCTTCTTGTATATAAATAAATAAATAAATTAAGACCCAATGTGAGAAAAAAAGTAACAATGTTACTTTTTGTAGGACTTCCAGTTCTCTGTGACTTTTTAACTCTCATTTCTTAAAACACAAAAGGTCTAGCATCAGTCTGCGACGTATAGATAACGTCAGTATTACTATATATTTGATGTAACTCTACCTCCCGCCGCCCTCAGGCCTCAGCACCTTCCCACTCCTGCAATTCCCTCAGCATTATCACAAATGTGGTCCCCCAGTATGTTTCCGATACAAACTCATTCTCATCTTTTACCTTCAGGTCAACCACCTTCCTTCCTGGCGCCGCTAACCCTACTCTACCCACCCTTCCCTGTCCCCTGGCGCCGCCATGCCATTCTCAGAACACTCACCCCCCCCCCCCCCAGCACCATAATCACCCCTCCTCCCGCCCACCACATTACCATATCCGCCCTCGTGGGTGTGGGTGTGGAGGGGGTGGGCGCCTGCAACAGCGCTGGGAAGGGGGTAATCCAGGGCGAAGCTCCTTAAGGACATATCAATGCTCAACTTGAAGTCTTCAGATATTATGATATATCTTGTAGATAATTTCTTCTCAGTGTTTCCCAAAAAATAGAAACATCAGTTTACAGGCATATCAAATTATTCTCAATCGACTTGAGAATTGTCCAGGACGGACCTAAACGTCGTCGTCCCTTCACCTTCTAGTGTGTGGTCTGGTCAACATCAAATTATAGATTAATATTCTCCTAATATTTGTGGCTTTGGAAATGGGGGAATTGTCTCTCAGACTATACAGGGAAGGTTCCGGGAGACGTGATTGCATCTATCCACTCCCCCCCCCCTACCTGACAGGAGGGTTAGCAATATATGATACAGCAGTTAAAGTCTACTCGTTACCATTAGCAAACTCCTAGCCTACTCTGTCCACATTTTTCTAGTATCTCTCAGGGGTTGAATTAGTTACAAAGTCGTAGGTATTAAAGCATTTTGGTCTGGTCATTTATACTTGAGAATTCACTCTACAGGGTAATCCACACGAGGCTATGCACGGTAATCCACACGAGGGCTATACAAGATAATCCACACGAGGCTATACTAGATAATCCACACGAGGCTATACTAGATAATCCACACGAGGCTATTCACGGTAATCCACACAAGGATATACAAGATAATCCACACGAGGCTATGCAAGGTAATCCACACTTGTTACATGTACTTTAAAAATGACACATATGCAAGCTGCAAGCACCTTGTTCGAATGTTTGACTACTTGCCACTTGCAATACTGAAACCCTGAAAGACAATGAATTCTCTCTATTTAACCTGAAGTCTTTGCAAGTGCAGACTTGCATAATAAGAACATTTTCGTTTGGACAAGAAACGGGAAATACCGAAGTGACAGTATTTCTCCATGTTTTATGTCCTCTTAACCCATAATAAATAATAATAATAATAAGTTAAACTGTGAATTATGGTCGACATAGTTTTTGAATTTGGCGCGAGGGAACATATTGGCCGAACTGGCTTTTTGACGCTTTTAGGCATCTGCACAGCTTTTGTTTCTCTGAATATACATTATATTATATTGGTTTATATATGTATATTTGTATATATATCTTTGCATATATTATATGCAAGAATAATCACACACAAAATGGGTGATTCGGTTATGCATTCACTAGGAAAATGAAACGAAAATTCGGGACGTTTTCGTATTTCAACACATGAAGGAACACAGACAGAGAAGATGTGGGGTTGGGATTATATATCCAACACAACCTGAGTAGATTACCTGAGTAGATTACCTGAGTAGATTTAAGGTCCATCAATAAAAATATGGAATAATGGAAGTGTGATGATTGAACGAAGATAGGCTATTCCCTAATTCTAATATACTGCAAAATTATTCTTCAAATAATTTTATACCTATTACGAATCTTACCAATTATACAACTATTTAATTTATATAATCCTGGACTTGCATTAATATGCTATAATATGCCTTCACTACTGTTTCAGGAGAATACATTATACACTAAACTTTGGGGAGGAATCCAAGTGAAACTAAGACTGAAATTAGACTTTCAGCAGCGGCTGTATTTCCAGAAAAAAAAGGCTGAAACACTGAATATACCTCGCTTTAGGCCTTGTGCCAGGAGACAAGACACAGCCTATTATAAGGTAATTACCTTCTTCTGAGTATATATATATATATATATATAATATATATACTCAGAACGAAGTGTCCATGTAGCACGGGCTATGGTAAGCCCGTAACGCGGATATGATTTGACCAAACATGGCACGACCATACGCTAATGGGTACCAGGTGGGTAACGAGCCAGCTGAGAGTATAGAGCATCTTACCTATTCAGATCTTGACCACAAAGCATGAAGCTGCCGTGGGGAGGGTGGGGAAATCTGTTCCTTAATCAGCACTCATTATGACGCCCCAAACTGGCCGATGCCGCACAAAAAGCCATCAGTCATTCGGTATCTCGGGGTTTAATGAAACAAATTGCAGTATTTGTAACATTACCGGGGCAATGGGTTATTAATGGCGAGAGTAAGATTGTACATAATGAGGGGGGAGAGGAGAGACGATAGCCTCATTGGGAGACGATAGCTTGAACGGTAAACGATAGCCTCCCGGGACGACAACGGGTAGAACAACACCCGAGATAAAATCTTTAGTTCATATAAGGCTCCAGAAAGCGGCCCACGCCAGTCTTGGTAACTACAGAGCTTAATCTTGTGCCACGACTGGCCCTATGCCTGGCGCTACGACTGGCCCTACGGCTGGTTCTACGCCTGGCCCTACACCTGGCCCTACGACTGGTCCTACGCCTGGTCCTACGCCTGGTCCTACGACTGGTCCTACGCCTGGTCCTACGCCTGGTCCTACGACTGGTCCTACGACTGGTCCTACGACTGGTCCTACGACTGGCCCTACACCTGGTCCTACGACTGGCCCTACGACTGGCCCTACGCCTGGTCCTACGACTGGCCCTACGCCTGGTCCTACGACTGGCCCTACGACTGGCTCTATACCTCGCCACGCCTCGCCCCGCCTGGCCCTACGACTGGTCCTACGCCTGGCCGTACGACTGGCCCTACGAATGGCCCTGTGACTGGCCCTACGCCTGGCCCTGCGACTGGCCCTACGACTGGTTCTACGACTGGTCCTATGCCTGGCCCTGCGACTGGCCCTACGACTGGTCCTATGCCTGGCCCTGCAACTGGCCCTACGCCTGGCCCTGCGACTGGTCCTATGCCTGGCCCTGCAACTGGTCCTATGCCTGGCCCTACGCCTGGCCCTGCGACTGGTCCTATGCCTGGCCCTGCAACTGGTCCTACGCCTGGCCCTGCGACTGGTCCTATGCCTGGCCCTACGCCTGGCCCTGCGACTGGTCCTATGCCTGGCCCTGCAACTGGTCCTATGCCTGGCCCTGCGACTGGTCCTATGCCTGGCCCTGCAACTGGTCCTATGCCTGGCCCTACGCCTGGCCCTGCGACTGGTCCTATGCCTGGCCCTGCAACTGGCCCTACGCCTGGCCCTGCGACTGGTCCTACGACTGGCCCTACGCCTGGCCCTACGCCTGGACCAGGCGTAGGATCCATTCCATCTTCCATTCTGCTTTTTCTCCTCTAACGCTTCCTACGAATTTTACTCTCCTCTTACCTACCCATCCCGTCTTACCTTACCCTACCATCCCTTACCTTTCCCTACCATCCCTTCTTACCTTACCCTACCATCCCTTACCTTTCCCTACCATCCCTTCTTACCTTACCCTACCATCCCTTACCTTTCCCTACCATCCCTTCTTACCTTACCCTACCATCCCTTACCTTTCCCTACCATCCCTTACCTTACCCTACCATCCCTTACCTTTCCCTACCATCCCTTACCTTTCCCTACCATCCCTTACCTATCCACTTCCCTATTTGTCCTCTAGTTTACACCCTCCACGTGTTCTTATCGGTTCCTTCCGCTTGCCCATCTGGTTCTTCTGTCCACCCTTTCTCCTCACAATCTTGACAACTTCCCTCTCTCCTCCCTTCTCCCCCTTCCCTCCGTGGTAGACGGAAGTGAGGGGTATACAGTTACCCTCAGCCGTGTCGTCTACACACACACACGCTAAACAGATATACCGCCAGAGTGGAGGCTGAGAGTTGGTAGATTCGTTTGGGCCGGCCCCATGCTCCCTGGTGCCCTAGGGTACAGGTGGGCATGACCAGCCCATGCTCCCTCGTGCCCTAGGGTACAGGTGGGCATGACCAAAGGATTTAACAAAATGATGCATATAAAACATTAAATTAAGGGTAAATAAGACTTATTATAAGGGAAAATAAGCTTTAAATTAAGGGTAAATAAGGTTAAACACATCCTGTGTCTGACATACATTTTTCACTCCTTTTTCCCACAGCCCTGAATATGAGAAGCGTCGCCCCCTCATTGTCACATCATTGTATGGGTATTCATTATCATTGTATCGTTATTCATTATAATTGTATCGTCATACATTATCACATCATTGTATCGTCATACATTATCACATCATTGTGTAAATGTAATTATGAATTATGTAATCTATTTTCCCACCAACTTTGGTCTACCCAGGATGGACCCCAGGACAGACGGACCCCAGTGGACCCCAGGTCGCTTGTCAAAGACCCATGGGAGAAAGAAGAAAGAAGAAAGAAGAGATAAGAGAGAAGATAAGACTAAGCTAAGGCACGAGGCTACACACGGAGAAAACTCATCATCGTCACATATATCCATGGATTTTCTCACTGGCAGACGAAACAGGTGTCCCAAAAACAGATGTGTTCAGCACACAGGTAAGATGAAAGTGAGCAAAATGCAGGTCACTAATCCTACTGGTCAGAGCAACAGGTGCGGGCGACAGGTGTGTGTACTCACCATACTGGCAGCGGGAGCCGTAGAAGCCTCGGGGACAGATGCACCGGTTGTAGACACAGCGGCCACCGTTGTAGCACAAGAGGCGTCCACACGCAGCTGTAACCAGACAGATGAGCAACGCTGCCCACAGGAGGTCCCTCGTCAAACTCATTTTTGGCCACACCTACACACCTGCCTGTCCTGGCCACACCCACACACGTGTCCTGGCCACACTCACACACGTGTCCTGGCCACACCCACACACACCCCCTACACCAGTAAGCAACATGTTCTAATGATCAAATGAATGATTCTTGGGTATAATTCGACATCACACGACATGTTCACTCATTTTTCTGACTTAAATCAATCATTTGCATGTAACATTACATATAGGTGCAATAAATCACTTTAATAACGTGCGCATGCTCAGATCGCTGTAATATGGACGTCTGCATGCTCAGATCGCTGTAATATGGACGTCTGCATGCTCAGATCGCTGTAATATGGACGTCTGCATGCTCAGATCGCTGTAATACGGACGTCTGCATGCTCAGATCGCTGTAATATGGACGTCTGTATGCCCAGAGCGCTGTAACACGGCTCAGTAAAGCCTTTACTTCATCGTAAAGAAACAATGAATTCCCAGGAACGTGACGCATCTATGTCTTAGGGAGGCCAGGGACGAAACGGGTTCGAGCCCATTGCATGGACTCTATGTTTTCTAAAGTGTAAAGCTTCGATTCTTATAAATTACTCGGTCCAGTCAATGAGGGGGATTGGAAGCTTACAAAAGCAGGTTATACTTGCTCTTTAGTGTTGTGCCTAAGGCCTATCGACCTCTGAAGGGTTATTAAGGCCACCACAATAGCCTTCTAACCAATCAGCTAAATATGCTTTAGTCTTGAACTATGTTCTGGATTAAAGTCAATTCTCAGTGTATGTCCAGCGAGAAGTGGGATTCACGTCTATGTGTACATATTATATATATATATATATATATATATATATATATATATATATATATATATATATATATATATATATCAGTAACATGGTGTCACATGTGAAGCACACACAGTAACATGGGATCCACATATGAAACGACGATCCAGGCACCAAAGCTACACATTGCGGGAAGGCGATCAAAAAAAATTCGTCGATTAAAAATGGAAGTACTACATGGTGCTCTGACGGCGGCTCCTGTAACGACCTTGGGTAGGAGGCTACTGCCCAATTAAAGCTACCCTCGTAACCCTTAGTGGCTGTCAGCCATTAACTGCTCTCAGCGACAACAGGAACTGGTTCCCCAGGTTGACTAACGAAGCGGTTGACACAGAGGCGGGAAAGGAGGAGAATGTCGGCACGAGTGTGTATCAGCAATGAACATAATTTCTCTCGGGAGAGGCCCTAATAGAGGGACGTAATTCCTTTAGAAGGCGTGTCGGACCCCAAGAGGATTCCGTGGAATCCCAGGTTGTATTGCTTTGACCATGTCGTGGTGTAATGGTCTAGGGCGTTTGCTTGGGAGCACTAGTGCATGAGCGGGTTCAGAAGTCTCCATAGGTCTCCAGAAGGACTCTAGAAACTATCTAGAGTCATCTAGAGAATATATGATCCACCTGGACTCCAGATGGACCATTTACCGCCGGAACTGAGTCGCTCTCTCCCCTCTGTCTCTTTAATACTTTATATTAGTGTTCTTCAGTTATATTTCAAGAGTGTTAACTGTCTGATAAATACAGACGAAGCCACCCTGATTTAGGAAAGTGAGGGTGCTGAAGGAGGCCATATTGAATACTTAATCTCAAAGACCCCTTTTACAAGTCATCATCAAACCTCACCCTGACAAGGGAGCCGGGGAGAGGAGGATAGAAGAGCAAGTCAGTGAATCTGTCCGCTAGTATAATGCAGTTGCAGCCCAATTCATTATGGATGAAAAAGAGGTGGTTAAAGTGAACAAAGAAGGAGAAGGAAGGAATTCATAATTGCAAGAAATCGTTTTGGCTATAAGTACCCAATGGAGGTTCGGGATGAAAACTACAGTTGACCAACGAAGATGCAGACTTTGCAACATAAGTGAAGAGTATCGTCTGGACCACCACTACCCGAGAGAGAGACTGCCCATCTTAAAGACATTAGAAGCATAATATTATGCTACTTATGTAGAATAATAAGCCCACATTAACTTAGGAAAGCACTATTGTCAAATAAAGATACTGTTCTTAACAGGTTCCCAACTTTGCACTCGCAATATAATGTGAAGTTAAGGGTCGATTGATGTTAATCCCTCGTTTTACAGTCTGTTAACTTTAAAATAAGTTAAGAAAGTCCCAGCTGTGTCTGGGTACAAGTGACAGGATGAACAACCCAGCGGGTTTTCTTCCTATTAGTAAATGTTGCACATGATGCTATGGCGATATGTTCATTCACAGGATGAGTGACGCCATCCAATAAACTCGCCCTCCGGCCAAAATTAAAGAAACAAGATGTACAAGTTTCGTATCTGGACACGAAAATGATGAAATCCTGGTCCTGAAAGCTATAATGAAGCCGACCCTCTCAAAGTTTGGGTAGTGAAAGTAAGATTATTTGTTGCTAAGCGATAAAGTCAAGGAATGTCCTTAAGACGTCCACACTTCCTCCAGCCGTGTATTGGCAAACGTTTCTGTGACGCGGGATAGTTGGCGGCCATTACTGGTGCATTCCACGAGGCCCGGGAGACAGTGGAAGGTCGCCAGGCGTTTGTTTACACGAATCAGCTGTCAGACGCTGGCTGCCGGAGTAGGGTCTATGGTGTGAGAAAATGGTACACATGGTGTACACATAGTGTACACATAGTGTACACATGGTGTACACATGGTGTACACATAGTGTACACATGGTGTACACATGGTGTACACATGGTATGCAGGAAGTATGCAAAATCATCATGACGTCATAATGGCGGTACATATTCTGGATCTTACTTTAGTCCGCCCGTCATAGCGGCATGTACAACACTCCCCAATAGGAAGAAAACCCGCTAGGTTATTCATCCCCCCACTTGCACCTAGACACAGCTGAGACTTGCCTGTCTTAGGTAAACAGTTCTGCAACCACGACAACACAAACACTAATTGGTGACTGGTAATGCCCGCCTTTGTATATTATTTTATGAGTTTAAACCAAATCATCTATAAAGTAATGACGCCTCTGTCGTGAGGACACCATGGGAATTTAATCATCGCTGGTGCTCAACTTGCAACAACTTTCAACCCAACAGAAGGAAAACAGTTTTGAATTCAAAATCAAAAAGGTACTTCTTAAACATTCAAACTAGAAGGTATTTCTAGTTTGAATGTTCAGAAATTTTAAAATTAAACATGTTGCGAATAGTTTTGTGAAATCTTACAGTTTTTGCTTAATGGACTCAACAGTTTAAATATTTGCAACTTGTATACAAATTATTACCGTTTATTGACTAATCAAGCAGACACGAGGATATAGTTTAGTAAAAATCTGATTACGACTACAAGCAAAACAAGTTTAATTACAATAATAATAATAAACAAATCGGTGAACACGATGTTCGCTTGAAGACATTACATCAAACGTTACAACCAGGGCTGATGATGACCACCCCTACTCAAGCTAATTACCCTACTAATAACAGCTATTAGTTGGGGTACCCCGGTGGGTCAGGGTGTCTCTCTCTCTCTCTCTCTGTCTCTCCAGCCTTTCCTGTGGCAGAATGTCGCCACGTTGTTCAGGAAGGGACAATTTAGAGTGCCATTTAGTAAGGCATAAGGTCATTGGCAGTTGTAGTTCCACTTATAAGAAGTCCTGCCCTGGGAGAGTCAGAGAGGCGTGGACCTACGACAGACTGAGTCTGTCGTAGAGCTCCACCCCTGGCGGGTGTCTTCAAACGTCACCCACACTGGCTGAAGCTGCGTCATTCATTCATTCATTTAAATATAGGTCAAGATACCCTAATGGGTGAGCGTGGAAGTGGGGATAGGGGAAGAATTAGTGGGGGTGAGAGGAAGGGTTTTCAGTATGAGGTAAAGTGCCAGGGCTAGACCCAGCTGCATGGCATTGAAATCGTTATGACCAGACTAGGCAGTGAAGGCAAGGAATCGGATCTGTGGCAACATTTCGTCTTTTCTGAGCACCCACGGAGACAGCAGCCCTCAGCTGGGTGTGCCCTGGGGGCTCACTCCAGATGTGGTCTTAGATCTGCTAATCAGCTGTTTCAAGACCAGTGTCGGGAAGTCAGTATAATCTGACCTGGAATCTGGAAGTAAGGGGGGGGGGATATGGTTGTATGGCCTAGTTATCCCCCCCCCCCGCTGTTTTCTTTAACCAGTTGGGTCTTAATACAGTAATTAAGCAAAGTGTGAGTAGCGGAGGGAGACGGCCAGTGCGGACGCAAGAGTAGCAGGCTGAGGCCAGCGCGGACGCGAGAGTAGCAGGCGGAGGACACCACCACCCACCACCACCAGACACGCAGACTCGCCAGGAACCAGACACATTCGTCACACATTTGTGGCCCCGAGATTACATAGCTCGGGCACGCGAGATACCCCCCGCTATATTTATGCATAGGTGGTTCATGTGGTGCTATATATACCGCTGGCGTCATCTGCATGGCCCCACGCCACAGCTGGTGCTACAGAACATATACGACGCTAGTCTCAGCCGAATATGTCATCCGTTCGTCTCGGTATATCTTAATTGCCTGTAGCCTGTTTCACGGTTTATTGAGCTCTGCGGTGTGTTTGATTGGTCAGCCGGCAGGTGCGAGCCCGGGAGAGATTCTGTATGGGACTGTCGGATGTTGTCAGTGTGGTCACAGATTCACGGCTGTTGCCAGTGTGGCCACAGATTCACGGCTGTTGTCAGTGTGGTCACAGCTTCACGGCTGCAACAGACATGGCCGGCTCCTGCACTCATCAACAGCTGTTCAGTTTGTGTAACATACACAACTCACAAGGACCTGACTGGGCATATTTTAGCAAACTCAACACATCACTGATAAAGCTGTCAACACCGCTAATAAAAATTATTCGCTGTAAATCCCATCTAAAATAAAACCATTTAAAGCCACATGAACTGTAGAGTTTTAAAGGGGGAAA